TCCAAGAGTCAGTGCAAAAATACCCATTTCAGCCTATCAAAGCCCTCTGAAGTTTTCAGGATCACTGCAGTGGAAGAGGACACATAGGTCACACATTTTGGTCAGGATGATGGCTTGACAATGCATCCAGCCTCAATAGCTGTGACTGCTCAGCAGGCAAAGGGCTGCAGGGAATCACTGCTCCCAGAACTGTGTAACCCCATGCCTGCCACCAGGACCCCAGGCTATGCAGCATGGAGGCATACTGGTCACTGAATTTTTAAGATACTCTCTCCCTCTCCAAAGCCTTAAGCACTGCTGAAGTTAATGCTGTTCCTAATTATATCTTAAATAAGCATGTGACATCAAAAAATTACTCTATAGATTCTCCCTCATCTATATTTACTCAGGCATAATAGCAGCTGCCTACACGATTTTTGTCTTGCTAATGCACAGCAATAATCATAGAACCACCCACAGCCCATCTATTTTGGTAGAGTGCAGAAATAGACATTAAACCTATAAATGTCAGAACATGCCTTCGTTTCAGATGTTAGTATTATTTAAATTAGCACTTGAATGATGTTTCCACAACGTGATAGCTTTTCAAATGATGGTATATTGCACATGAAGTGCACTAGCCCTGCTTTAAGCACCTCCAACCCATTAGGCCCATCTATAATTTGGTGCTTTTAGAAAAGCAAACGCATCGGAGAAGAGCTGAGGTCTTTTTTGCTTGTGCCCAGTGGTCCCCAGGGAATTGCTGATGCCATAATTACCTGAGCATGGCTTGAACATGGGGCTCTGGTTGGGAGGTGAACATGACTTGTGCTTGGTGTCCAGATGCATTTGGGAACAGCTGTGTCTGGGTGGTTGGAACATCACATTATCTGAACATGTCCTCACATTTCAGGGCGAGCACAGTGCTCACTATGAAAGCAATGCCCTTGGAGGGAAAATGTGTTAACTGGAAAATGGAAGCAGCTAATTATGTTTTCTCTGTAGATCTAGGAAAATTAGGAGCAAATCCCCCACCTTCCTTTTAATCACTAAAACCAGTAAGATAATTAAAAGAAAACCAGGAAAAAAGAACTGATTAGTTGAGATTTAGTAGACATGGGGAAGCTTATTCTAAGGAAGCCTTGTTTTAAAAATAAAAAAACAGGTTAAGTGTGAAATCAGACAGCAGTTAGACCAGATCAACTCAATGCTGCTTTCAAGAAACACAAATTCTGCTCAAACAGAACAGTGGAAAAGATGACACCTGGGATCAGATTGATGAGAAAAATATATGCCTGTTCAAGGGTGAAGTGCTTCCATAATTCTCTTACATGAGAGCGAAGATTAAACACTGCAAGACATTGATTTCTGAGAAAGCCCTGTATGTCATTTAGTAAGTCCTCTCATTATAATAAAGTCTTTGACCACGAACATCACACTTATTACAAACACATGCAAATAGAGCATCATGCTTCATCAGACAGAGGGCCAAGTTCATACTCCTCTCTAAAGTAAGAGCCACAGCAGGCACCAGTGTCACACACACACACACGAGCTGCATATACAAAACCAACAGTGACACCTTGTGGGCAATAGTCAAGCACAAAGTTAATAACTACGATTTCTTCCAGAACATCAACTTTAGGAGATTGATCATTAAAAAAAAAAAATGAAGGCATATGATCTTTTGCAGCACTGGGGGGGAAAAAAACCCCACCTCTTACTGGAGAGGATAATGCAGACAGCCCAGCAGCTCCACACAGAACTAGTCCTGTATCCTGCAGGAGCAGTACCAAAGGAGTCCTGACTGGCACTGGGGACCTGCCCACAGCAGCAGTTTGAATTGGAATCAGGTGTGCACAAAGGACATCTCACCCCTCATCCCGCTTTCTGCAATTTGGTTTGCATCCCAGTGCTGTCCCAGCATGTAACACTAAACTGGAAGAGAACATTTGGGAGCATGAACTGCACTGAACAAACGAGCACACAGAGCACAGGCTTGGCCTCAGCTGCAGCAAGGAGCCCAAACATGCAGCATGGAGTGATGGCCAGCCGGCCCAGAGCCTCCACAGGCTGCTCTGGTGTTTAACAAGCCAGGCTTTGGTGTCACTGTGCTGTTACTGTGGCTGCTTCTGGGCTCCAGCCAGCCTGGATCTGCACCTCACACTGTCCCCAGGGTGCCTCTAGTCCCCATGTCTGCTGCTGGTATCAAACTAGGAGGAGCTGTGAGCTTCCTCAAGGGTAAAAGGACATCTGGATAGACTACAGAGCTGGGCAATCACTGACTGAATGAAATTTAACAAGTGCTGTGTTTTCTACCTAGCAAGGGGCCATTCTGGTCATATGTACAGACTGGGGGATGAGAGGCCACAGAGCAGTCGTGCAGAAAGTGATCTATGGGTTTGATGGCAAGTTCAATTTGTGCCAGCAGCAGCCATGACAGCAGAAGGGACAACCATGCTCTGGGGTGCATCAGGCACAGAACACTTTCCCCCAGCAAGTTCCAGCAAGAAATTATGTATGGTACTCGTGTCATCTCTCAGCACACATTCTCATCAAAAATAAAACCTATATAATAAAAACCTTCTTACTTTCCTTTATCAGAGTGAAGACTTGAGTAAGTTGCAATTTGAGCACAGAAACAGTCTAGACAGTCCAGAAGTTTTTTTAATGGTAAGACTAGAAACAATTCCCAAACCTCTTGTTAAAGGTGGCTGCTGAGCAAGAGCTCTGAGGAGAACAGTTAAGGACTGGAAGACTTCTCAACTCAAAGAAAACACCAACAGAACATTGTGGTAAAGGAGCACTGCCAGCTGCTTCCTTTGGTCCACAGTTAAGGTCAACATTAAAGTAAAACCAAACAGACCAAGTGCCAATCTGTGCAGATTCTACGACACAGCAAGCCAGTCAGCACACAACCTGTCAGCTGCTCAAGGCACACCATAATCTTTGCTTCACTGCCCAGCTTTTTAGTCTTACTGCATAGCTCAACACACTTTGAGACAGAGTGAGCTAATATGTTTAACATTAGGCATATAAACTCTCTCTTGGACACTAGAGTGAGGATATAGCTAAACATTGGGTATGCCTTTTTTTGAAAAGAGCATTAAATTTTGTTTTATCTAGTCACTAGAAAGACTGAGGAAGGAAAAGTACAGGTTAAATTCAAGAGCCAACACTGACAGTAAAAGATGAAGCACAGAAATACAGAATCAACTACAATTCTTCTAAAGGATGGTATAGCCTGGCATAAATCTTGAGATGTTACAGCCTGCACATGCCTGTCAACACCCATCTATGACTACAAAGACTGACTGGACAATGACTGTTAACACTGCCTGGGGTTATTCACCTCAGCACAGAAAATACCTATGTGGTTTCAGGTTTAGATTAAGTGCCCAGATGGACCCCCTGGATCACTGTAGTAATACCAAATTCTTGGATAAACTGCTGAAATTCTTTTGTATGTTACAAATTGTTCAGCTTTCTTGTAGTGATGCTGAGCTTAGAAGTGTCATGTTGAAGAGGGCACAATCAAACCACTTAGGATTAACTAGATTTGTGATTTCAAGTAAGGCTGATTTTCCGTAAAATCTGATTATTTTAAAATGAAAGTGAACAAATGCAACTTTCAGGCACCTTAAATACAAAATAATCTTTTATGGAGAGAAATAAATACTCTACTTTGTAGGAGAAGAAAAAAATCCCGACAAAAAAACTTTCTGGCCAGGTTTTCCATCCATCAAAGAAGGGAATACCAGTCTCCTACATTAGCCCTGCTTACCAGACTTATTTCAGCTCTATTCCTACTAGTGATACTCTTCACTTACCAGCCAGTTTGCAAGCTAGGACATATGTGTTCCCAGACTTCAAAAAAAGCCCTCTCCCAGCAGAAAGCAGTCTGAGTCACCTGTTCCTGAAAACAGCAGATACTTTTCCCTCAAGAGTGAGTTCTCCAGAAGCTGAGAGCAAAAACTGAGTGCTCTGTTGGGCTTAGCTCAGAGAGAACAATAGCTTTGTTCTGAAAACTTTTTTCCCCATCAGAAAAACAAGATATAGAAATAGAAAAACATTTTTTTCTGATCCCAGGAAATGCCCCTTCTCCCAAGCAGTTATCTTTGCAGCTCTGCCTCTGGCCCACTGCACCTTAAGACATCCCTCCTCACAAGCTGCACAAAACAATTGTAAAGCTGTGTTGTCATTTTATTGCAAAATTCCCATACCTTCTTGGTGATTTCTCATGAGCAGCTCCTCACAGCACTGACTCCTTTTTCTTCACAGCACAGCCAACAAACTCCAGCTCTCTCCTCACCCAGCTAACCCACTCTTTTGTAGCACTCATCTTATTATTGGACACAGCTGTGGTCTATTCAGGGCAGGGCTGTTCCTAATCTTTGGTGATTAGCACAGCTGCAACTCCTCAGGGGTGAGATTGCCTTCTGCACTATTCTCTTACATTCTATCCCTTCACAAAGCTGTCTATACCAAGCACACATCCAGTTCAGTCCTCTAGATGATCTTGCTAGTTACTCATCAGAAGATGGTCTGGAGGATACCTGCTTGAGTGAAGACTTCAAGCTCCATGGCCTAGAGATGCCCAGTTACAAGGCACTCTTGGGTTCAGCACACAAACATTATCAGAAGTGTCCTGATGTCATGAGGCACTTACCCCACTGTGGTTCTACTTCTGTAGTTTATTCCCATGTGTTGTTTCACCCTCCTCCCCCTTCAAAGCTAGATACACAAAGTTCATCAAATTACTATTCTCAACATATATACTAACTGAACTGCCAGAGAAAAAAATACCTTTAAAAATTTCATCTTCAGTTAAGAACAGTGTAAGATTATTCTCCCCAAGAAGATCTATCCTTGTACTCTGTGTACTTTTACAAATCCTGCAGGTTTTCTTCCCCACAACTAGAAACTAAAGCCGGATCCTTTTCATATTTCATGTGAATGATACTATTGAGAATGAGATTGGTACTTGAAGGGTAGAATAATAAAACTAGCCAGAGGCTATGGGAAATGCAGCAATGACATTTATTGGAATTTCTCCAGGCATTACATGAAAAAAAATTTAAGTGAAACAGAATAAAGCTCATTCAGTGCATCTTTAAAAAAAAGATGTATCTGAATAATCTTGGTTCTTTGTAAGAGATGCTGCTGCAGTTCCTGCGATTAGATTTTTATGTACACATCAGCTAAAACTCACTCTGAACCAAACTACAAAGAACTGCTTTTTCACTTGGCATTTCCCCATCTAGTACAATACGACATTCTTGAAATATCTAGACAGATTCCACATACTTTTATACACAGTGTTAAGACCTTTCACCCCAAATGTAAAAAGAGAGACTGTTAAGTAAATCAGTATCTTTAATCAAATAAAACATCATGGAAATAAAAAAAAAACAACAACAAAAAACCCAGGAGAGCCGAAGCCCCTGAGTTCCACAGCAGTGTGCAGCAAGTAAGCATTGTTGTTCCTCACTTTTATGGTAACATAAAGCATAATACTTAGAAAGCAGTGATATTCAGTCCTTGCTTTCTAAATTGGACAATCTGATGTGAAGACACTGCTGGATTTGGCACTTTGCTTAATTGGTTTTCTTACTAAAAAGAATAAGTGTTTCCTGAAATACAGTATAAACAGGAAGGGGTAACGTGAGCCACTGTAAAATGCAATTAAGGGTTCAGACATGCACTCCAAAATACTTGTCTATTTCACATTTGTCTAAGCTTTCTCAAAAATTCCACTCAAAAACATTTTCAAATCTATATGCAACTTTTTATATCTCTATAAACATAATTTCTCCCTTGAAATGATCAGAGTTTATCCCACCTTTTGTCCAGAACACACAAATTCATGACTTTTGTTTTAATAAAAAGACCACAAAGTAGTATTAAAACAGGAATAGCCTGGAAAGTGTTATTAAAACTGTGCCTGTACTTCAGGATCCCCTTTGAAATGTATAGCCACTGTATATGTGTGTGAAAACTGAAAGGTACATAATATCTGAGACTTGCTTGGTCCTCTCTTGTGCACTCACACTTAACTTCCTGCAACCCACCTCAATTTTCTTCTCAAACAAAATTTAAAACAGCTTTCTGCATCCCAATACAATTAGACAAGGCTTCTTTCAGCATTTCTTTGGTTAAATGAGAGCCCCTGACACACCTAACTCTTACACAGGCAAGTCTCCCGTGGAAAATTAACATCAGGATAAATCCCATCCCACTGTTGTGCTTCCTTTTTCTCCACCAACCATCACCACCAAGCCCAGGGCAGGTGGAAGCAAACAGGCCAGGAAGGAAGCGGCAGTCACTGCTAGCTCTTGCCTTTGCAGACACGATTCCTTAGCTCTGGGCAATGGAGGCGGAGCTATGATGCGCTGCTTGCTCGTTTCCAGTTCCAACATGCACCTGGAATTGCGCTGCTGACCGCTGCAGCCCAGGCAGCGGGTGGCACTACAGCTCCTTCTGTGCAAACCATGTCATGATAGTGGTTCTGCACTACAGCTCCTTCTGTGCAAACCATGTCATGATAGTGGTTCTGCACTACAGCTCCTTCTGTGCAAACCATGTCATGATACTGGTTCTGCACTACAGCTCCTTCTGTGCAAACCATGTCATGATACTGGTTCTGCTTATTGGTCTGTGCTCACAATGTCAGTAGAACTAAAAGAGAGGCACGCATGAGTTCACACAGGTTTTCCACAGAAGATGTGAAACATGCTGCTCTTTGGAGGGAAAATTACATTCTCTTTTCTTTTTTCTTCAAGTATTATTCAACATATTCAATATACATATATATAAAGACACATTATCCTCATTTCACTACAAGACAAGCACATCCAAAATGAATTTGCAGATCACCATTATCTTTGTCTTCTCCAATTTCTCCTTTCCTTTAGGTCAACTCTAAATATACATCTACTCATCATAATTACATGTGAGAATCCTTTATTTCCCCCTTGTGATTTATTTACATAATCATAAAAAAATTTATAGCCTGAATTTGCATTCTGACACTTGAAGGCCCATCTGTAGCTATGGAGTGTCCCAGCACTATTTTTGGGTAATACCATTGCCTATTGCTAAGTAGCTATTGAAAGCAGCATACTCATTTTTTCGTTCCCTTTTTGTTTTTGAAGAAGTGCTGCCTAGAAAACCCTGGTTTATGGCTTACTCCATATTTTATTATTTGGGTTGTAGTTTACTTCCTTCAGGAGCAGTTCACAGTCAGACAACACTTCTGCTGGCAAGTACTTCACTATCTGCTCAAGAGTCTTTTGATATGTTATCTTCTCCTGTTCCAGGGACTGAATTACAGTCTTCATTTTGTTCTCTCGTGTCAAAACAGTCTCCAGGCTGGCTTCCAGACTCTGAATTTTAGCGTGAGCAACCTGCAAACAATAACATTATCATAAATTGATACATTCTGAATAGTTTTCTTTTAATATTATTATATTATTATATAGTATCATAATATTAAAATTATGATGTTTTTACATAGCTACTTCTAAAGACATCTGTGTAGGCAGACAATACAAGGAATGCATACTGTGTATCAAAAACAAAATCTCCTCATAGTGACCAGATCAATCTGAAGAATTCCTCCGAGCTTTACAGAGGGAAGGAGACATACAAATTGTAGCAAGCAAGGGACAGCTGAGAGTAACAAGGAACTGGAGCCAGAGGGAGAAAAAGGAAATCAGCAGCTGAAGTAGCACTGGAAGACATTCACTGTCTGAACAAGGGGAACCCTCTGTGATAAAGTAAGTTAGGATGAAGAGACTGGAGGGAAGAGAAACTCAACATTAAGTCTAGAAGCAGACTGTGTTCTCTATTCTCCAATTAAAGATCTACAGCTTCCTCTGACTAGTCAAAGAAACCCTGGACCACAGCAGCAGCAGTTTGCTCTGTGGGTACTGGAAGAATTCTGACTGCTGCTAGGAAAGGGTATAAGCAAAGGAATGAAGAAGTTATGCAAACAAAAAGGTGAAGAGGTTAAGCACTGAGAAAGATGCATTATTGCAGAGCACTCTGAAAGAGCAGGAAAGCTTTCATAGAGCCTTTCAAATTATTGAGCCACTCAATATTTCTATGCCTTCTCAGCCACTCAATTATTCTTTGCCTTTGGTGCATTTTCAGAACAGGGCTAAAAGCCCCAGCTGCAGTAAATAAATAAAGAAAAATAAGAAAGAAAAATCAGTAATAGTAAAAAGTTCAAGTGATTCCTGTTTTCAGTATCAAAAGAACAAAGCACCCTTAGCCTGTAAACACAAAAATAATGAGGACTTGATCTGCCCTTTTTTCCTACCATTTTTCTGTTTCAGAAGCTCAAAATGCTTTCTGAGCTCTTTGCAATGCTTGTTCAAATTAACAAATATAGCAAGAAATAGCCTGATGATGAAAAAAACAAGACTTTCTCTTTCAAGAAAATGCAAGACAATACAACATATTGCAACTGAAACAAGTCTTGGCCAAACTATGAGACAAAGGGAAAATAGTGAAGGAGGAAGGGCTTTTTTAAAGCACAACTTGACCAGGAAAAGTCTGGTGGGCTTTCAGATGTAATCAGGTCTGCTAGGAGAGACCTCACCTTCCAAAGTAGGACTATGAGCTTCAGCAGAAGGAAACAAAACAACACTGCCTACAAAGGCCTGGACTAAAGAAGTCTGCTGTACTATGGATTATTTCTTAAACCTTTCCAACAGGGAAGCAGAGAGATGAAGGGACAGAGAACTCACTTTTCAGAAAGATAAGCAAATTTTGCCAACAGATTTTATGGCAGATAAGGGTAGAGAGATTTCAAGAAAAAATAACTCTAAATCAAGAAGGAGAAGTCCAAGGAATGACAAAGGAGTTAGAAGTATGCCTAGCAGAAATGAATCATTGTAATTAAGAGAACTGCTCAACTCCACCAGGTCTTGCAGTAAGAAGACTTCTCACATACACTTAAAACAATACTTTTTCCTCTATTGGCTGAATCACAGAAATGACTTCACCATGAGCTTGTAGCCTAAGTCATTTACCTGTAGCTTCTCCAACAAATCCATGTTTTGCCTCTTCAGATGATTGTTTGCCCTCTCCAGCTTCTCCAGAGGTTCACCTTCATCACAGGGGCTCACATTTTCCTGCAGTTCATCCTGAAGAACGTGGTACTCTACTTCATAGGCATGGAGCTGTTTTGAAATATCCATCTCAAACACCTGCCATGAGAGAAATGACCATTTTTAATTACAGTAGGGAGGACTTATTCCATGTGAATGTTTGACTAAGAGTCAACTCTCCTTGATTTGTTTTCCTGTTCCCTTCAAAAACGTATTTTAAGGTGATGTCTACAGTAAGAGCATTATGACAGAGTTGTAGCCATAATAAATTATAGACTTCAAAATAAATTGGATCATGCCTTGCACAATTACCAATACCATATCTTACTATGAGATGTATCATCAGAAAAGTCTTATGCAGTCCAAGAATTTTATAATATGACAAAGTTTTATTGACTGTTGCTCAGGAATATTAAGGAGTTCAAGACATAATTTTTAAATCTGGGATTCATCAGATCTCTTTCTTCAAAACTGGATCCCTTGACTCCAAGAGCTCATTTACAGACTTCTGTAAAAACATTCTTCATGGTTACAGTTTCCATGTGCTCTATCCCTGCATGATGCCCGCTACTTTCTTATTGGGATACATCAGGGACAAAGCATTGTGAAGACCACAGGACTGAGTTTCTAAGAGTGAGCAATAAAACAATGGGACATAAGACCCTGATCTGTTTACAAATCTAATTACAGCCTCTCAGCTTCAGAAAATTATCAAAGATTTTAGACTAGGATTGGAAGGATGTCTACAGTGACATCAATTTTCTGTTCCTTATCCTAGAGATCACAAACATTCCACCAACACAAGACACACACAGATTCCCTGACAAAACAAGTCCTGTATTACTTTCACTGTTCTGTTGTATTTAAATGAGATAAAACTTCAAATTATGTTGTGTTCAAGCTCAGTAAGTACCATTTTCCTCTACATAGCCACCTGATCAATCATCTGTGCATTACAGATCTGCATAATATCAACATTTTTCTTTCATTTCCCATTATAAGGGAATGGTCCTGGGAACTGTAAGACTGGGCCAAACAACTGCCCCCTGCAGCCAGGCTAGGTAGCAGCACAGGATACAGGCAGAGGATGCAGATGTGGAAGGCTGCTCAGCATGAGAGCACACCCCAGGCCAGCTGAGCTGCCCTGCCCTGCCCCTGCATGTAACCACAATTCAGCTCTGCAGGCATCATAGCCCATTCTTACTCTATCAGACCTGGCTTTGCACAAAGCCATTTCTACCCTGCCCACACAGCAGGGCCTGCTCTGCAGCCCATGCAGAGCACTGAACAGATTTAATGTCTACGAGTATTAAAAATGTTAAACTACCATCTTGATTATTCCCAGAATCAATGAGTTGTGAAAGTCACCAAAGTGCCTGACACAGGTTTAGCATGGCAATGACTGTCAATGAAATGAGGAAATCAAGATTTACATTGTCTAAAAATGAATTCTTATCTAACAGCACCTGAAAGAGTCAAACCTGAACAAGCCACAGGAATGCACAAGTGTTTACTCCACTGCTGCACATGGACATGGTTTTCTAGAGCTCTTCTGTTATCTCTGAACTCCCACCTGAAGGGGGAGCGCTGATTGCAGTTTCACAATTAAGTGCTAGACAGGCTCACTCTCAATCTGCAGCTTCAATGCAGAAGAAATTAAGTTACAGATATGAATGAAGATTCATATATTCAGATATGAATATGAATGAAGATTCCAGCCACCGACAGTATTTCTCAAGAAGCTTAACATATCTTCTTCTGTGAAGACTTTTGCCTATAGTGTAGGCATTGTTCTTTTAAAGTAAACTAAATACAGGGGGAAAAGTAAAAAGAAAAACATCCTTACCTGAGTAATAATTTTTTCCATTTGAGGTTTAGTCATATCTGGAATAGTGGTTTTAAGATAATCAACAATGTTCTCAAAACTCTCACATCCCATTATAGATGTTTCTTGACTGCTAAGTAGGCTCAGTGCTACTTTAAATATTACTTCTGTTCCTTGAAGAAAAATAATGTCTAAAAGAGAAAATAATTTAAAAATATTTTAATTTTGAAAATGGGAGCTAGAGTCACTGGATTAATACATATATTTACTGGGATGTTCTTTGTAATCAATCACAGTGTAGATGTACTCAGCTCAGAAGTGCAATCTGTCTTATTTCAACATGAGGATAAAGCATGAATTTTCTTTCATCCTACAGACGTGAGAGAGCATTAAGGAAAATACTGCATGCTTATTATGTCTGTAGCAGTTATCTGCAATAAGCATTTCATCACTGAATGCCAGAGACATTATCCAACTGCTAACTGGTTTTAACTGCTCCTGTGACTGAAAAGCAGTTGGGGGTAGATCACGACACAACTCTTTTCTAGGCAGAAGCTAGTCCTTAAAAAAAAAAATTCTGATTCCATAACCAGTTACATTATTTTCAAAATTCATAGTAGTGCTCTTACTGACTATAATCTAAGTCCTAAACCCTTTCTTTGAGGTACAATTACATGGATAAGAGAGGAAAGTCTGGGCTCTGCAGGTCAGTGGATACAGACTGTACAGAAATGGGAATCTTGAGGACAGTAAATAGAGATTTTGCCTCATGATCAGTGGTGGAATTGAAATTACTGAGATGAAGGCAGCACATGGGCATTTCAAATAAACCTCCTGAGCTGTTGGCTCTGTCACACCACAGGGTGTTTGTTCAGGGCTACAGAACTGAAGAAATTCATTTCCCGATCCTGATACTCAAGAGGTGATCCCTGGCCTAATCCAGGATCACACAGCAGCACAAAGACACTGATGAGGCAGCCATCTCCCTCAAATGCAGCTCCTGAAATTCTCCCTTCTCAAGGCTATGATGGACATTCAAACAGCATAGATATAAGTATATAATTTGTGAAAGGCAGACAGTAGCCATTTGTTCCTGGTATATGACAATGGCCCATAAGACACTGAAAATTCAAGAACTCAAAGCTTTAAGAATTAAAATAACACAGTAACTTTTCAATTTTAAAATGGGAACATGACTTGCTCAGCTTATTTACAGAGAAGTGAACACCATAACTCCTTCCCATCTTCCCCATCCATAAAAAATTCATTTAGGAAAGAAAAAAACCCAAGCAACAAAAAAGACACAAACATAAAATGCTCAAGTGTCCCAGAATTCAGAAATCCCACTGGGAAACAGATATTCACATGACTGGTACACCACTGAGAAAGAGATACACCAATCATTTGTTCACCCAGACAGCAGCCAAAAAGTGTTTGCTGTAAATGGAAAAAAAACTCTCTGCAACTGAGAAAGCACTGGGTACAAAAAAAAAAAAAAATTTAAAAACTTAAAAGTAAACCTAACTAACCAAAACCCTCTTCCTACCCCCAAGCCAACACACCACACAAATTGAGAACCTAACACACTCCAGTATTGAAACATGAGACAAAGTCAGGTTGAATTTCCTAAGAAGGGACAAAAGGTGCCCTATGAAAACAGAAAGATCAAAGGGGGAAAAAGTATCTGATTTATGAGGAAGCACCTTACATGTACATTTAGATTCTTGGTGCGTATACAAGTACAGTGAGTTTTGCATTAAAAAATAAATTTAAATTAAAAGAAAAGGTGCATCACTAGAGATTTGATTAAGCTGGAAGTTCTTGTGGATAAGAAAAGAACACAAAAATAATTACTTGACATCCTGACACTGTAAATGCTACCAGGAATAATCAATATTTAGGCTTCTGTACTAGATGCTACCCGAAGAGGAATTTTTAATGAAAAAACTATCTAAAGGAAATCAGAGGCATATTATGAATTGGAAATTGTTCAATATATAAGTGAATACCAAAACCAGCCTTTAAGTTCAAATTTGCTTGAATTTTTTTAGAAAGCACTTTAGAATGAGAATTCAGAAATGCATTTTCTTTTTTCAGTTTGCAAGTTTGGCAAGATGAACTTTTCTATTGATATAAACTGAATACATTTGCATAAAATACATTTGCAACAATAACCTTTCTGCTGTTTACACTTCAGAAGTCTCTTAGGTAGTAAGAGAAGATATAATTATTTGCTCAAGTCTGATGTTTCAATAAATACCTTTTGGATTTTCCTCTTACAAAGGAGCTGACATCCCACTGTGAAAAGTGTTGCTACTTGCCACACACAGCCATCACCCCAAATGTCCCCAGCATGTAGAAAACTACCCCTGGAGTGCTTCAAAACACAATGGATATTGTTCTGTTTATTATTTCAATAGAATAAACTTTCTTACCAAACACTCTGGCTACAAATCCTAATGAAAATTGAGATGCGAACAGCGTAAGAAACCACGGTGCAGCATAAAGACTGGGACTGATTTCATTCTCTTCAAGATGATTATACAGGTCTCTGTGATAATCATGTAGAAGCCTTGAGAGCTGATACATCTGAATCTACAGAGCATGAGGGGATTGGAGGGGGGAGAAAGTAAAGAAACAAAAGTTCAGCTTTACTCACTTTTCCAAATTATTCCTATTTCATTCAAGGGAAATTAACTGCAGTACAGATGGCACAGTAAAATGAAGCTTAATTGCCTCCCGGGGCCTCGAGTGGTATTTACTCATGTATAAACAACCTGCCACTAATGAATTAAAACCAACAGGGCAGTCAATAACAAAGAACAGTTTGAACCTGATTACTAATGAAGTATATTTCAGATTCACAGGCTTAAGGTAAGAAGGGAATATATTGCTCCAACTTTGTCAACAAACCAGAGCTTCCAGCCTTGCAGCAATGAAAGTAGTCGTACCTCTTCCAAGATGTCAAAACCATGAGTTGTGACTAAATTTACACATTTCAGCTGTTATTCTTTGAATTCTGGCCTTATTTTTACTGCATTTAAAACTCCAATGCTACAGTCATCACAACTTTAGACAGTTTCTGTACCCACAGAATACATTTTACACAGAGATTTCCCAGCACATCTCCCAGGGGTCCTGTGGAATTTAAGATACTGATGCAAAAAGTGTTGCTGTACAACCTATCAAAGGTTGCAAGGGAAAGTGGTTGAAAGGTGCTCTTCATGGCTAAAAATAGCACTCTGTGGTAAGTTATTTCCTTGCAATGCTTCTCTCAGAAAGCAGAAGATAAGAAGCAGACATATATTGATTAATTGCCAGGTCCAGTTTTATTGTCAATAGCGCTTTATGCTTAAGGTGAATCTGCTCCTCAATAAGAAAACAACTTCAGATTCAGCTATTTTCCTATTTTAGAGTTCATGATGGTTCCCTACCAAAGCTGAGTGCACTTGAAGCTACCTGTTCATCAGCACTGCACACAAGCAGAGGGATCACTTTCATTTAGGCAAATCAGCTAAATTTGTGCATGCATTTGAGTTCTTGCTTTAATTGTGTAAGATACCAATTAAGCCCAGTTTGGACAGTGTCAATACAAAACACATATGTGAAGTCAGAATTGCATCACAGAGCAGTAAAACAATTGGGATAATTCATTATGGACTAAGGATCTAGATTACTACTTTTTCCAGACAACAACTAAAAAATCTAAGTCTAATAAGTTTTCATTATCCTGAAGAATCATCCAACATTTTTCTTCTACAGGACTGAAGCCAGTTCTGCCTATAAGCTTGCTTGTGTTTCACTGTTGTAAATGCAAAAGAATTTGCAGTACTCTACTCCTATTAGAAAACAACCCAAATATAGTAATATAGTAAAATATAGTAAATTTGTTCTGAGCAGACAAAACTTTCCTTTAACAGAAGAACTGCCTAGAAGCAAACTGTGGGGAAAGACAGCTCATTTAATTTAAAAGGCAAACAGTACTACAAGTGGTAAACTTTCTCAAATTTAAGTGTTCTTACTAAGAGGTTCTGCCAATGAAACAGTCACACTCATTTGAACTAAAGTGTCAAATCTTGGACATGTGAAAGCTCTAAAATCATCAGCTGTTGGAAGTCTACAACTGCAGTATAACACACACTAACTTAGCATCTACTAGGGGGAAAAACCCACAAACATGCATTTATCACACTTTGACCCTCACAGGTTTAAAACATATTTGTGTGGGGAAATGGAACAAGAGGAGGTAAAACAATGCTTTTTATGGCTGTTCACTCTTAATTCATCAACAACAAACTTGTTATAGCATACTTACATCCACAGTCCTCTAGTGTTTTCAGAATAAGCACATACAGTTTCTTTAACTACAATCTATTCCATTGCTCTGGACATTTGCCAAATAAGCACCTAAAGGGACTGGCCATGAAAAGTGGGATTAAACTTTCACTTTAGTTTTACTTAATTATAAATGTTTGCTATGCAGGGAGCATGGGGAAAAAAGGAGACTTTTCTATCTGCTGCTTTGTTTTCTCTTCCTCCACTGTGGATTATACAAGGTTTAACTCATCAATGGTGTATTCCTTTATAATATAAAGGGTTTAGAGAATATTATAATTATTCAAATCGGGGGACAATTGCATGCCAAGGTGAAGGATTTCTCAAACTTTAAACCCTAAAATTTATACAGATTGGAAAAATTTTTTGTGTCCCTCCTAAACAGTCTTGAGTAGCTATAGCTAGCTGTTAAATAATATTGCAGAGCATGCATCATTGCAAAAGATAATTAAACGATTAAAGAGTCATCTGTTTTCTCTCTCTGTTGAGGGTGATGGAGCAGAAGACTACAAGAGAAAGAGCTAAAATGAGGAGTCAAGGCAGAGCAGCCTCAAGTACAAGTGCCTGCAGAATACACTGACTGGCCACTGTGTGTCACTATTGACTTGACTTGGCCTTACAAGAGAGAAATCTACATGCAAGTGCTCACAGACTGAAGAAAAACAAAATCTAATTAGTTTTTAAATTCCATCCATATGTGACAAAGCTTATCGGGTTTTTTTCTGGCATAAGGAAGAGAGAGCAGTGAGGAAGAGAAAAAGAAAGGCAAAACAGCAGAAAGCAGAATTTCTGGAGAGATGACAGGGCTGTGTGACAGGGAAAACTCTGCAACTTTTAAACTTCTCTGTTTGCAAATTGAAAGACAGAGAGGGGCTTGACAGTAAAATATACATGTACCTCAAAACCTCCAAAACAGTATAAGAAGCTTCATAAGGCCCTGGAGAACCTAAGCAACCCCTACAAGGGCTCAAAAGTAATTTAAAACTCTGGTTTGCTCCAGAAGGGCTGACTTACCTGTAGGGACATCATGTCTGGTCTGTACTGTTTACGGAAGCCAAGGTCATACATGAGGAATTTCAGCATTTCAAAGGCCTGCTCTTCACTCATATGTAGAAGCAGCACTCCAGCTACAAAACTTATACCTTGACAATAACCAACTTCTTTGTCCAGCAAAGAATATGCTTTCAAGAGATTAAATAGTGATAGCTGTCCTGCTCCCAGGTGCGTGGAAAAGTAAGGATGTGTAGGGAATGTCCGTCCTGATGTAAAAAGAGAGGAGTAGTTGATACTCAATTTTTCTGAAGAAAAACCCCGGTCCATCTGACAAACAGCATTTCTCCTCCCTCAGCTTCTCTTTGCTTTCATATGCAGTTTGCCTTCAATCAGATCAATCTGTATCTTACCACTGATTTTGGACTGTACCTTTTGAACCCACTTAATATTCTCATCTGCACAGAACTTGCAGAAGCAGTTGCTGATTTCTCTTTTCAGACAGATGGAGAAGGGCATAAATATGAATGGCATAGCCTAAGAGATCATCTGCTTCCAGGACTCTAAGTGGCATACACAGAATGTATCCTGATGACATAGAAAATGAAGCTCATAGAGCAGCATTTATCTTCAGCAACAGATTCTATTATGACTGGTGTGTTTTTCACTCAAAGACCCACAAACTAGTGGGAAAGAACAGACTTACCTAGATCTACAAGGATGGCATGTTGTTGAGCAGTCAGCTGTTTCAGAAGTTCTTTGTAAGAGATGTCAGGAGGCTGCTGCTTGTTTGGCAGCCTGTGCCTGACTCGGTGTTGCACAGCCAAAAATTGCCAAATTTCTCCCCGACGACTTTTTGGTACACCTGCAGGTCAGCCAAAAAACAAGAGGCCTAAGCAGGGGGATGCTTTTAGTGCTACAACAAAAGAATTTGCTTTGTTATAATTTTGGCTGAACCACTCTGGAGGATCCCTTACAAAGTGAACTCCACTCTTCAGTGTGTTCAGTCAGTAGCCACAGCTCAGTCCAACAAACTAAATACAAACTACAAACTTAAGGGCAATTATACTGAGCAGTATCCTGGGAAACTGAGGTACAGACATCCCTTGCTTTGTCACTTCTGAGCTGTCAGTCTCCAGAAGGAAAAGATGCACAACTACACTCAGAATGTAGAATGACCTGTTTAGAAAAGTCGAATTAAATTCAGAAGTGTAAAATTCGGGGAAGTCCAACTCCTCTTTCCCTTTGCAAAGGACTGTCAATGTCAGTCCATAGATGTGGGGAGATACATCCCCCTTCAGTATCTGACTTTGTAAACCAACTTCTGAAAGTCAAAATGTCAACTCTGCTAATACCTTCCAGGTAAACAATTATTTAACAAGAAGACAAGTTAATAACCATATCCTTGTTCCCAACTCTGAACTGCAATCCAACAGTAGAAAGCAGGGTATCAAGGTAAATAATTTGTTGGCAGACTTCTGCAGGTCACTAACAGGAACTGCTTTATATCTACCATAATTTACTTTGGTAGCAATTTAAACTTCCCTTCTGTACCATAGCTAGATTACACTGCATTATTTTTCAGCATCTGTAACACAGACATGAGATTCTATGGAAGAGAGCAATCAGGCCCTACAGCTGCATTATACTAACAAGACCCTCTGGATACCCTCTTGGCCTATGGCTAGTCCACAGGAATATCTACTTCAAGACAAAATTCCCAGCCTTTCACTCCAGGAAATTAAATACAAAGTGACCATATTCCAGACTCTCCAAAACTTGGCTCTGATTCCTCTAGGTTTTGAGCACAGTCCACAGTAGACATTATGGTCTTGCTGTCTTAGTAAGCAAGTAAAATCAGAACATCTGAAACTCAGAATTGGATCCACTGAGCAGAAACCAAAAGGTCATAGCATTGGCTGCAGAGGCTCCAAGTTCAGTCTTAAATGTAATGACACGTGGAAACAAGATTCTACTTTCAGGAGTATGACTATACATGTTTCTGCATTGCTGACATTGCAACCTGCAGACACAGCAGAACCTATTTTCTGCTCTGCAGGAGAAGGCAGCACCTTTGTGAAAAGAAGGCAGTTTTTTGCTACTGCAAAAAGTGTATTGCTGATTTCTGTTGTTATCAGAAGGGAGCAAAAAATATGATCTTGAGACTTCAGAGCTAAAAGCCCTCCTACATAAATACCTTCTTTTAAAGTGGAATGAATATCTTCCATGTCACATCGGATTTTGGCTCTGCAGTTTAGTAACTTTTTATCCCAAATATTTATGGCATCTTTCTGACATGTGCCAACTTCATCATAGTCCAGTTTTACTTTTCTTGATTGGAGCTCATCTCTGCTTGCTAGAACACAGAACAAAAAGGAAGAGCACATGGAAAACCAGAATATCAGAAAACTACAAGATAACAACAAATACACATAAGCCCATTCAACGTAGATATATCTATCCAACAATCTGACTGGTGATAAATACATCTAGACTTCTTTAGTTTATAGCTTAGTTGGTGACAGTTGTCATAAGATGTTGCATATAACAATTTAAATTCTCTTGCTGGGTCATGAATATTAGCAATTCATGAAGCACATCAAAATATTTTTTAAGCTTGAGGAAAAAAAAATCCACTAAACAAAACCCCACAGCACCTCCTCTGCAAAAACACCTTTGATCGCTTTATTCTTATTTTTATTGAACATTACAACTGTTTTGAGTATGGAAAGTCCCAAACATGTGAATGTTTGCATTAGAGATTTAGGCAAGCAGGCTAGGCAAGTCTTCTAAACTGAAGTCAGTCAGAACTGACTGATTCCAGTTCTTACACGTCCCTTAAGAGAGTGAGAAGAGCTCTTGGCACTGGCATCATCAGGCAGACCAGTGCAAACAGAATGAACCAGCATGAACCATTGGTGCTGAAGCACAGACTCTTGCTGTTATAAACTTACAAGCTTTGCTGCATAGGACTACCTGGTACAAAGTATTTATTATGTTACTTCTAAAATAAAGCTGCATTGTCACCTTAGCATTTCATGGAGAAGCAGTTTTCATTTCCATTACTAAGAAATTAACTCTGAGTATTTTATTATTCATGATGCACATGCAGAAAAACACTCCAGTTCCACTAACTACTGGTACAAAAAACTGAAACCAAGACTTGAATATGTCTTAATTTAGAGAGATTTGTTTAATTGCCACTGGAGTGAACTGTACATTTCACAACATCACCTCTGAAATGCAGCTGAGTTTATTCCAAATTTGCCTTGATCTGTGCACACTACTTCTTGCAGAAGCCCCCATTCTCTTACAAATGCATCCCCTTTCCCACCATCACCTCTAGGTGAAAGCAAACTCTCACTCACATTTTATACATCCTGCAAAGCAAGACCATCTGTTCCTTCGCCTACTCATCTCACTTCAGCTAGAGTCAATATTGGATCAATCCACAGGATCATTGCCTAGTCCATTCCAAAAATGAGAAATTATTTCCAAAACCCCAATGTTACACCTCTGAGATCTTACCCACTCAAGACTACAGGGGCCCCTGCAGAAGCAGGTATTATGCAAAGAGCAGTGCACTGCCATAAAAATGGGAGTGGGACCTTACCACAGGAATTTGCAGTTCAGTTGGGGCGATTCCAAATGCTGCCCCACTGCTGTATGATTTCACCCAAGAATTCTCACTCTTGTAAGCAGCATGCAACAGATCCAAGCCAGCAGTAAGATATTTCAGTGTGACAACAAACTCCCTCATTAACTGTGCAGTTCAGTTAGCCCTGTGAAAGCCAGCCAGTTTGCCTGTCGATATACGTGCTCTCCCTACTACCCCATCCTTCACTGTTTTCAACCACCCTTGTTAACATTTTTCCTAATCATTGCTAGGTGGCCTGCTACTTTTTGCAGCTCTTATATTTCTAGATGACCTACTGGAAAAAGGAGCTTCTAGCTTCTCAGAAAAAAAAGAAAGTGAGTTTGTGCAATTGACAGAACTTACCTTCTGTAAAATAAAGAACTAATAGCATTCAAGTCTCCTCGACAGCAAAAGGAATACGAAAAGAGGTTTTATTAATATTTGGTACATAAAAGTCAACAAATGATTAACAGAAATCCACTAGAAACAGTTTCACAGCAATTCCAGTCTTAAACCAGTCTAATATATACAGCTAATAAATTCCCAGCTAGGAACCTGACTTCAAGTAAAGAAATTTTTGCATTTCTGTTACTATATTTCCCTATCCTGAGATCTACATTTAATTGTAGGCTAGGATGCAAAGAACCACCCAAACCTATACTTGTTTGGAATGTATCATCAGCTCTGCCCATGTCCTGTCCATAAAATGGCCCATGTTATAACAGACCACTGGAAGGAAACCTAGAGATAGGTGTTAGAACAGTTTACTTTTCACCCTTTTAAAATAAGATGATGAATTCTAGCTAGCAAGAGCACCAGTTTCAGCAGGGCTACTCATGAACCTGAATACAAGAATGGAGACATGCTCCTCAGAGCACAAACCAAGAATGTGGGCTGGCAAATGTGTGCCAGTTTGGCATCTCCACTGCCAACACCTGTTTTCACCATGAACGATCAGGTGGGAAAAACTTGATTTCTACATGTTACAGAATGGAAGCAACTTGTAACTGAGTCTTAAGGAACTGGAGTGATTTAACAGTTTTCAGTACCCTCAGCCACACAGGGTAAGTATAGCAAAGTGTTTATCCCTCAGCAGCTCCAAGTATCAGAGGGAATAACATTAAATTAGTCACCACAGCAGATCTTCAGCTTCCTCACCCCACAAAAATAGACTATTTGCTAAAATGGTTTATGAAATGAAGATTTTGGCTGAAGTTCTCTCTAGACATTCCCTATGAATCTAGGAGTTTCTACAGAACTGTGTGTCAACAGGGAGACAAACTGTAGAGAGAAACAGCACTGAGAAATACACTACATGTGTAGGAAATACATTCAAGGATGTATGCTTGTAGGGACATCGAAATACTTCTGTCCTGATGCTTTTCTTTCCTCTCCCTGCCTTCCCAGTAAGCTAGCCTAAAGAAGGAAAAAGAGTTAACTGATCTTAACAAGATCATTATGTTTGAAGTAGTATGGTAGTGTGGAGAATCAGACTACCAGATAGGTTATACAGCATAAAGGAGAAGATGAAGGCAGCAGTTGTAGAGAGGACACTTGGAATTTTCAACTTACACCAAGAGCTGGTTAGTCTATTATACTGTCTATTATAGTGAAGAATTATGTATGCTAGGATAGACATTGCATCCCATCTTTTATTTGTGTGAATCTTGACCAGCCTTAATAAAATATCCGAGCCAGAAGCTGAGGCAGTTGACAATCAGAATGGTCAACGTTAGATCCCTCACTAACAGCACTCAATTTTCAGTGTACAGTGCTCATGTTCCAAAAAACCAGACATACCTCAAGAGAAAGTTGCTCAAAAATCATATTTGGATTCAAGCATTAATAAATTACCACTGTGATGTGGTTAATGAAGAACAAAAAGCCTGGAGAGAAAGGCCATGAGCTGCAAAGGACTGAAACGAGATAGAAAGGGTAAGGTTTACCATACCTAAGTGTTCACACAGCACCTGTTCTCCTCACTCCATTTCACATTAGAACTCCTACACTCAGACAGATACAACACAGACTGTGGCATCCTTTGTCTAACATGCACCCAAAGAGGAAAATTTAATCACTTTCTTCTGTCACTAAGATTACTCATTTAAAATCAGGTAGACAGAGAACGTGGTAGACTGTGAGACAGGACTAGGAAAACACAGGTTTTTTTCTAGTACTGTTAACTAAAAAGTTACAGAACCACAAATCTGTTTGAGGTGCCCAACACCAGAACAATTTCCATCTTCAGGCAGCAGAATCTGCAATAGCTTTTAGGGGTATTTTCTAAATAGCTAACCTTCCAGCTTCTGGTTTTCTTTTTCCATTCGAAGTAACAGAATTTGTTGATGGATCGCTTTTCTCCAAAGACTTTGTAGTTCTTCTGAGTTTTTCCTCTCTCCAGTTTTATCTGGACCATCCTCATTTTGCAATACTAGAACAAGAGGGTCTTCCTCCAGGGGTGGAGCAAGAGGGGATAAAGGTAACAATTCACTTCCATCATGACCATCTGCAAAGAATCAGAGAGCTATTACAGGAAACTCAGATTGTTTGACATATCATGAAAATCTGTCATAACAGAACAATAATAGCTGTCTTTTACATTCAGCAGTGACTTGCTGCTTCCAAAACAAGAGAAAATGCAGTGCAACAGTAGAGAATTATTTTTTTAAGTGTTTTGTTTGCATTAATAAAGTTATATTTAAATTAAGTAGAGTTAGATAAAGGGTCACCCAGTATTTCAAACCTTTCCCCTGCCAGCTCCTTCCAGTTACCACAAGACATGTATCCATAAAGCCTCCTTTACAGTTGAGCTTGTTTACTGCTATGATATACCATGGGTTCTACATTAAAGCTACTTTTTCCATCTGCTAACTGCACTACAGAGAGTGCTATAGCACTTTGTGGTCACTAAATATAGAGCTTACCATTTGCCTATGGTTTTGATTTCTGCCAAATGGAAATTTATGAATAGCATGATTTCAGCTGTTTCAGGAGTTTCTACCTCAAACGGCTTAAAGCTGTAAGAATTATTAACACAATCAACAGGTGCTATGTGCACTACAAGGACAAGATATAAAACTTACCAAACACTCCTATTATGTACACAGGTCAGGGTAAAAAATTCCTAACTGTTAAAAATATTATCTTTGTCAGTAAGAGACCTGTCTTAGTTTCCTTTGCTACAGCAGCTATGGCAGATTGCAATTCATTTAATTTTGATGCCAAAATCCTCTCTTCAAAGCAACAAAAACCTAAATAGTCTAAAGCCAAATGAGCACAACTGATCTCTGGCAAGGTTCTAGCATGAATATTGTATCACACTGACTCCCTTCTCCCTTTCTTATTATCACATGCTGCAGTTCACTACAGTATTAAGTAACAACTGCTTGTTTATTTTCTTTAAAAGCACACACAGACCTGGATGCTGCATCTTGGAAGGAGATTTATTCATAGGTGAAGCTACCTGCAGGAATATTCTCCGCCGCCAGGAGATGCGGCGAGGTGTGAGCGTGGCCCCCGCAGCATTTAGAGATTCACTGCTGCAGAAGGTTGATGTTCTTTTCTTTCCCTCCCCATCACTGAAGGAAAGAAAAAGCAGATGGGGTATTTAAAGTCAGTATTCCTTGTAGAGGAAAAAAACCCTTTATTAATTCTGTCTAATGTATAACCAAACCTGCAGGAGCATTTGTGGGGAAGCTTAAGAAGGCAAAGCGTGCTGTGTGTGAGCTTCACCTTGAATGCTGAAGTGCCCAATTGTTTTCTTGTGCACAGTGCCGTGAAGTTAGCACTATATACCACCAGGAAGCATTCATAGCATTCATACAGGGCTCAGCTGGAAGCTCACAATAAAAGCTTAACTTTTTGAGAAGCTAAGAGAGAAATATGGTAATACTTTGCCTCTAACTTAGACAGCAACGGGTTTTGTTTTGCTACACATCTGTCTTCTGGGAGTGATCTGATGTAACACCCCTAAAAGCAGAGATGGTGTTCCAGTGGAGCACAACACTCCATTTAGTGCCATTTTAAATGTCATGCTGAGCTCACAGGTGAATATTTTATTGGAGACAATGTTCTGCCTTCCCATATAGTCTCTTTGCTAAGCTTCAAGAAGTGTATGCTTCACTTGGATAAATGGGGACACATGTCCTCATGTTTCATCAGCTGTAGGAACTGAGACCCTGCAAAGAGAGGGCAAATCTTCTCCCCAGATGCCATGTAGAAATATAATTGCACATTAATTTTAATAATTCATAATTTTATCTTATGCTGCTGGAAGAAACAAGGAGAGGATACAGGAAAGCTTTACAGGGAGGACACACCAAATACACCTTTCTACTGATTATTGCCAGAAGAAAAGACATTTAGCTTTTATAAGTATTTTATCCAATTTCAGAACTATTTCAGAATTTTCCATTTGTGGCAGCAAATTAGGTGCACAGATATTGTATACTAATGGGCACATTGATTATCTGCCACTAATCCTTCCATGTAAAGTCAACAGCAAAAGGCACAATTACAACCTTTTAGGAAGAGAGCATCAGAGGGAGCTGTTTCTACAGCTTCACCTTCATCACAGGGAAAACTGCTATATCAAAAGAGTAGCTACACTTAAACCTTCATCCTGTAACCAATTTCAGTGCTATAGTGCAAGGATCCTAAAAAGTTAGATGAAAGGAAAGCCCAGCACGTTCATTATGTTTTTAGTGGGAAGGCAGTTGCAGGTGATGGCAGTTTGCAGCTGGAGTCCATCCCCCCACATCTGGCTTGCACAGGAGAGATCTGCAAGGGAGGACTATGAAGTTTCAGCTACACCCATCTACCAGTTACACTATCTTAATCATCACTTCATAACTAAAACTCTGTGCTCAATGAATGTGCTGAATTCTCCAAGCTAGGACTGGCCTTTTTGGTCACCAAAGCTGTCACTATGCAAATGACCTACAACAGCTCCCTGATATTTGTCAGCCTGAGTGACCAACCAGACTCACTATCATACCAAGGTATCAGACCCTCCTTCTGTACCCTGGCAGAGAAATAACCACCACTTCAAACTCAGCTAACCAGCACAAGGCACCAACCCCTGCTCTTCTCCAAGAACAGCTCTACCAGCTGGGAGCCCTGAATGACACATGGTCTGAACTGTCCTCCACTCCTGATTCAGCTTCCATAGTGCCCCAGCTCCCTGCAGCATCACACTATTTATTGGTGGGTGGTCTAAGTAGATCCCCATGCTGCACTAACCTAAACAGCAACTGTGACAATCTTCTATGTCTAACTCTGTGTCTCTGATGATGATGGGTCACCACTGCTTGTGGTAGCCAAACACAGACTACTTAGACTGTAACACTCATTCTGAACCTGTAGGTGCTGTTTCTCAAAGGTATTTCAGTCCAGCTCTTGGAAATGGGGTACTGAGTTTGGATATATATAATTCTAACTTATGTTTCTATAAATAACTGTAACAGAGCTACTTCTTACTATTTCAAGTCCTACATATCATCACATGTTATAACACAAAAACTGAGTCATTCCAGGGCTTACTAAACAGATGCTACATAACAAGGGAATGAAAATTTCTTTTCTACTGCTATGTACAAAAATCTACATTCAGCTACCTGTGCTTCTAGACAGTTCTAGGAATAGTGTTCAATTTACAGTAGCAAAATTCACAAAAAAGTCAGAATAAGAAGGTGGCTCTTTTAGGGTATGAAACTAACCTGTTTACAACATTTGAGTCATGGAGGTTACATTGGGATGAACTAATCACATACACTACCTCATGAAGCATGTAAATCATACTGCTCTGAAGACCTGTATTTCTCTTGTTAAATCCTCCCTTCAAAAAAATCCCCTGTCGCTTTAAGCAACTAACACTAATCACCTTCTCTTTCAAAGAGCAAGTGATTAGAGGAAAACTTTTGCAATGCTCAGAAACATGCCTTGTCATATTAACCCAGGAAAACACCAAGCTTTAGAAAGGGAGGGTTGAAAGGGAGCAAAGAGAGTTTCCTCATTTCAAGACAGACAACTCCTAGCTTAGTATCAGATCTGAAGGTGTGAAAAAATACCCTAACAAAGCAAAAGCAGGAAGAAGTCAGAGTAAAATAGTAGTGTCTCCAACCCTAATGAAAAGATTCAGGAGGTTGGTGCAAAAAAAAAGTTTCTCTAAACAGGGTGGGGGTAAAGAAAAAAAAAAAATTAGCTATCAGCTCCCACAAAATGAAGAGGTTTATTAATGTGAGTGGAGAGACTAAGCCAATGAATCTCCAAAACAGGAAAAGCAACTTCTTAAATAGAGCTCAGTCATTGCCACGGAAAAGCAGAGCAGAGTTTTCACTACCACCTACACAGACACCTTAGGTGAACATCTTCCCATCTACAAGGGAAACATGCTGCAAGGTCACCTGATGGAAGAATCACTGCAAAAAGATAACAATGTAATATTCTGTTTTTAAGACATATGCATCACAAGTCAGTTTGGAGAATGATGGTTCTTTGTAGGGCTACTTACCCTACACTTCTGACCCAATACAGAAACCAAAACACATTTATCAGCTTGTATACAATAAAAAGTGAGCAGCTGTAAATTCAGTATAATGCCTCAAATATTTCAGTCTCTACTTTCACCCTGAAGCCGTTTGAAGCAATACCCCAAGTACTCAAGAGTACACAGTACTGATCATGTAAGGTTTTATCTCAGGTAACTGCAACTCAGTTTCACCCATTCACTATTCTATCAGATAATGCACAGCATGAAGATGAGACAGCTACTTCAGGGGAAGAAAATACAAAGGAAGGAAAGAAGAAATCTCAAAAAATTGGTCAGATTACAAATATTGCTCGGTTTTAATTATCTAAATCTCTTCCCAAAACTGTTCTTCAAAATGCTCCCAAAGACTGATATTTTAAAAACCACAATGTTACCCCCTCCATTTCTTGTGAACTCTTTACATAATACTTACCTGAATTATTTTGCACTTGAGCCCATGAAAGCCAAATGACTTGAGAGTAAATACTGTTGTTGCTCATGCCAAGACTTGTATTTTTCCCATTTTTGCTTTCATTTCAATGTCTCTTCTTGATTGCTCTAAGTAGCAACTGAATAAATGCAACCTACTTTACAATTTGGAGGCTGAGATGGTACAAAATCCCCCAGATCAAGTACAGAATTCAACTTCCCAGCACTTAAGCTGGCAGACCTACATGTAAGACTACTACATGAAGCATTCCTCCCTTCTGGGAAGAAGAAAAACCAGTTTATATCAGCTTACACCCCTCTGTTGGTTCTCACTCCGTCATATATTTTTATTCTGAATAATTACTTTCTGCTATTTTATTTAAAGAATATTCTCAAGTATTTTACTTCTTTCACGAGACACAAAGCTGTTTTAAAAAAAGGAATCTGTTCAAATTCAGCTTAAATTATCCTTGCACAGCAACACAATGAACAGAGAAATTGTGGGCTAGTCAAACCTACACTGAAGATTGTTCCATTTTTAGAAGTGTTGCTTTTGTGTTTATATTAAAAAGCTTGTTTACCTTTATGTTGACCAGATTTTTTTTAATCCTTATCTGCAATTCTGTTCAATGTTGCACACCACACTTGTCAAAAGTCAAGATTATGTGGAGACCATTTCCATCCCAGCCTTCTCTCCAGAGAAATATATTGACAATGCCATAAAAACATTCTGAAGGCTGAAACATTCTGAAAGTATTCATTTTGGCATCAACATAAATATTATGATGCCAAAATTCACTATATTGTTGATTTCTTAAAGAAAGGAACTGTATGGGGAGGCTGTAACTAAATTATGGTCCCTTCCAACCCAAATCATTCTGTGATTCAATAAAAAAACTCTAAAAAAAATTAAACAAAGAAAAAAAAACCCAACAAAACATCCCATGCCATTCTATAACATACTATTTGCATAAGCCCATCTGACTGCTACGGTTCAAAAATCTTTCTAAAATGAATTCCAACTGAAACTGTCTCTGCTCTTGCACATTGAAGTTTGTCAGAACACCAAGAAATGCTGCCTGCTGCATCATGTGTAATCTCAAAGCTATATGATAAAGAAGTGAGACTCTGCAGAATTTTTCTCCTGTGCAACAGGAATTCCACACTTCATGAATGCATAGTGACCAGGATTATTCTGGAAAATGCACTGAAGTTTTAATTAGGGTTCCTAACAGTCAAACAGTTTATAGTCTGCAGATTGCAAAGCACTGACACACTGTGCTAAATTCCAACCTATCATACACTCACTCACATGAGAATGCCAAAAACACCTCACACTGATCCTATTGGGGATAGATGGTGGTCCTCTCTGAGAAGAAGAGCCAAAGGAAAAAAACCCAACGAACCAAAGAAGAAATCCACAAGAAAAGACACATTGCAAAAAATCAGAACTTCCTCTTATTCCTAAACCTGACGGCATAACATACATTTGCAAGTTTTGGCCACTGTCAGTTGGACATTATTTTTCATTCTCTGTTAGCCAGTTGAAGTGATGGATTACCTCAGTGATCCTTATAACATCAGTATTATTCACTCAGCACTTCTTTCTGACTCTATCTGCTGCATTCCCTTCACAAACCCAACTAGATGCTACCAGTGTACTCTTGCTATTGCCATTTCCTCACCATGACAGTTCAGGCCCACTTGCTCCCAGAAAGACCTGTAGCTACTGAGATCCCATTTTCACAAGAGTCTCCATACAATTTAAAGATCAAATGTTAACAGAAATGTGTATCCTGTAAAACCTTAGTAAAAATATGGGGGTCTTCTGGGAATTACCCCTTGAAGATTTCCCCACCCCAAGAGTTCGAAACTCCACTATAACGAAACACAGCAATTGAACTGCCTGCATAACCAATGCCAAAGGATGTGTCTCAGAAATTTCCAATTTCAGTTTGGCATTAAAATACAGTTTTCATACAATACTCAATCCTTCATTCCCAAAACCCAGAAAGCTGGGTTTAATGTTGTCCATTGCCTGCAGAAACTGAGTTGGGCATTGGTTCAGCTTGGACCAACTCTGCTGTCTAAAGGGAACACAGAAACAAAGCTGGACTGGAACCCAAATTAGAGATAGTCTGTAAAAGATGGGTTTGGGGGATTTTTGCCACTTTTCATACCTTTGCTTCTTCCCAAATCCTCTTCAGCTAGAAGTTATTTGTTAATTCTCTCTAAACATCTCACAGTTAGTATCACCCAGTTAACTTGGTGTTTCCCCTTCCTCATGCACAGGCATCCCACATTAGTACTGTACACTTTTCACACTGCTCTTTTCTTATTTTCACATGCCAGTGATCATGGCAACACATGCTGGTTTGCATTCAGCAAAGAAAGCATTAAATTGGCATAACACTCCTAAAATCCATTGCATTTCATGTGACAAACCAATGCAGCAGATTTGCAACACTGCAACAGAAATAGGTGACAGCTACTTGATGTCAGCACAGAAGCCTCAAGTTTTAACAGGCTTTTTGATCCAAAAGCCTGTTTGCCCTTTTGCATGACGGGAGTCTGTTAGAAATGCAGGAGCACAAGGCAGAGTGGGAGAGATGCCATGTGCTGCATTCCACTGGGAATCCTGCTGTTAAGCTAGTGGCACTGGAAAACTAGGCAGGAGACAACGCTCTCACCTCTTGGAGAGGTCACTTTCTGAGTGCTGGAGCAACCTTCCTGAGCCCTGGTAAAAGGTTTTCAGGAAAGAAGGGGCAGAGAGAGAGGAGGGGAGACCAGAAGATGCAGATTCACTCTCACTGAGAGCGCGCCGAAGCCCAACCACAGGACTGTGCAGGCAACAAGAGAACACAGCAGATGGGTCAGCACGGATTCAGATACAGCAACAAAACCACCAGATTAGAGACACTGGCCAAATACCTCATCTGGGCTTACATTAACTTGGTTTCCCAGAAGATAAAATGTACCACCACGTGCATTCCTGGGCAGGCTCCCTGGGGATAGTGATTTTGCTGTTAGAGCTGATTTCTATTAAAAACTTTTCAATGACATTGCAGAACAGGGAGACCACCTTATTTCTTTAGCTTTGTTTATTCCCAAAGCATATTCAGAAAAGGAATCTCTTAAACATTCAGAAAACATCCTTAGAAACCTTCTTCCAATAATATAAACCGCATTGTTTCTTCCCCTTCAGTTTTCTTTTACCTTTGTAAGCAACGCATTAGGAAGTAGAGATTATGTAAATGCAGTCCTCCTGGATAAATTTTTGTGAAGTAACTAAATTAAGAAAGGTAGTCCTACTCCACAGTTAAACATTACTTAGTAGCAGTAACAAGTACTGGAGAGGACATGAAAATGAATTCAGTTTCTTTTGCTGAACATTTATGACTAATCCTCAAAAGGAAAGAATGAAAAATCCCAGCCTAGAACCACGCTGCTACATACTGTTTTGACTAAAAATCTGCTGATGCCACTTAATCAGTGACTTCTTACAAGTTATTACAAAGTAATACAGTCAGCAAGTCCTTCACTTTGAACTGTCAGGGTTTCCTGTTTGCATACAACACAGTCAGTGGGGAAAAAAAGTTTATCTCAGTAAAAAAACACATTATTTACCTCTCTAGAAACACAGTGTAACAAAGGCTACATTCTTACCCTTCACTCCCTTCCATTCCCTTAAAACAGAATAAAATCTGTTGCCCTTCTCTACTAGCTGGTGCAGCATTCACGCTGATATTTTAATGTAGACATCAAATAGATGACAAATTACTATTTAAAGCCATTTTTAGAAAGAGCCCACAAACAACAGCATTACAGCCAAGCACTGAAATAGCAAACAGGTTGGAGAATGTGATCCTCCAACAGCAAAAAATTCAGCTCATCTGGACCTGAGTTTTGTAAAGGGTTTGGAGTTTGTATAGTCACTTACTGCAGGTAGCCAGCCTAGAGGAGAAAAAGAAGGCACAACCAAAGAGGCCCACAATGAACTGTGGAGACATCTGCTGAGTGAAGGAACTCCTGAAGGAACTGTTCCATATGTTAATAGCTGGAGAGTCTCCAAAAAGGAAGCAGAAAGAAATTACAGAGGGAAGCTACAGAGGGAAGCTCTGGAGAAAGGCAAATAGGGAAATCACATGCCTCAGAGTTGAGTGGATGTGCTTAATCCTTGTGTCCTTTTGCAAGACTCCTCACCAGTTTTAATGTTGGACGTACTCTCTGTGAGATTTGACTGACACGGCTACAGACATCTGAAGCTGTTAGTGCCCTTTTCATCCTGGCATCAAAGTTTCAGGCTGCCATCTCTGCCACTTAAAGCACTGAGAGCCTGTTTTCCAAAAGGTCTGACTAACAAGACTGCCAAAAAGGCTCAAATAAATAAATAAACAGATTGGCGTTTGGGCATCTGGCTGAATCATCAATTTGATGGATTGATGCCTCCCCTGAACCACTAATTGAGGGACTATGAAGTTACTGCAAGGTACCAAACTACTCAGAGGCAGAGAAGACAGGCTGAAAATAAATAAATAAACAAACAAACCAACCCTGGAGAAGTGCAGAAACCCACCTGAGCTAAGCTCCTCTCGTACTTTGCCAGGAGCAGGGCTGCTGCAGCCTGGCCAGGGTGGGCAGGGGGCCGCGGGCGGTGGCACGGCTGCCCTGGCTCACTGCCCTGGCTCACTCACCTGGCCGCCTCCAGGCCGTTCTGCCGCAGCAGCGGGGAGCGGGCGCTCTGGGACCTGCCGTTCTGGAAGGTGATCCTGCGTCGGGCGCTGCTGGGCGGGTGGCTGAAGGTGTGTGCGCGCCTCCTGAACTGAGGCGAGTCCGAGCCCTCCTCGGGAAACGTCTGCCAGGCCGAGGACACGGGGGACGCTGGAGGAGTTGCTGGCGGGGAATCGCCCGGAGAAGTGTCCTGAAAGGAAGTGCTGGCGGAGTAAGGCCTGAGGCTCTGTGCCCAATGAGAGCTCTCACTTAACCCACAGGCAGGCAGCAGCGGGGCACCAAAGCCTCTCCCCTTTCTGGGTCATGGCCTATTGTATGCTAATTATCACCCAAACCAGACATCCTCTGAGAGTTCACTCCGAACCAGCAGCGGCCTTCTTCCAAAAAGTGAAAGCGGAGGGAGGAATACAACCGTATACGCAGCACAAACAACATACAAACTACTCCAGGCATCCTCTCACAGGGACTGGCATTCCAGCTACCAGACTCGTGTCTCTTTCAGGAAAACACAGGAATGGAAAAGGCTAGGGAAACTGCTTTTAGCTAGTTTCCTCGACATATCGCGAGCATACTTCCTGTACCGTCACAGCGACATCCTGGAAGAGAGACTGTTATTACACAGCCAGTTTATGAGTAACTGTAGCAGGAAAACCAAAACAGAATCTTCACCTCCTGGGAACACCAGCCACCAACCCACATGCGAGGTAAAACTTTAAAAACAGGAAATAAAAAGAAAGTGAACAGAGTTCCACCCTCTTGCTACCATACAGCATCCCCAACAGCTGGGCTTAGGTCAAAAATTCTTACTTCCCTAAAGCAACTATTACTTACAGAAAGGCTTCTTCACCTTCAGAGCACTTCCTTTTGTTGAGACATGACCTTACTTAATTACTTCACTAAAACAAGGCAGAAACCAGAAATTCCTTGCTTTTTGTAAAAGCAAGGGAAGTGTAGGAAAAAAGGACTGGCAATCAGATTAAAGCTGAAGCTTCGAGTCAACATAAACCCCAGCTTTCTTACACCCTCTGCCTCCCAGTGGAAACATCTTTGAGTTTTGTAAGTTGATGTGCTTTGTTCTACTTCCTCCAAATGAAAGCAGAGTGCTGTATTTATGCTGCACTGAGAGCTGTGTACGAGTCTGAGCTAAGCTCCTTACGTACTCTGTCAGGAGCCAGGCTGCTGCAGCGCTCAAAGCTGTCCACGCTTCCCAGGCGGCCTCGCATCCTGTTGGCTCCCTGCGAGAAAAAAGGCAAGAAAGTTCATCTGGTCTTCTTCCTCTTTTTCTGAAGGTTAGGCAAAGATGGCAACACCTGCACAGGTGAATACAGGCAACAGTTCAGGCATGTGACGTGTCTGACAGAGGACCAAAGATCATGGGTCAAGCACTGGTCTTGACAAGAAAGCAACATCAAAGCTGGCCAAACTGCATCTTCTCCCACATTGCTCCCAGAAGTTTTAACCCTGCACTCCATTGTTTGAGGCAAGTGAGTATTTCCTGACACTTCTGAGGCAAAAAAGCTAAGTTGGTTTAAACAGCTCAGTTCAAAAAACTCCAGATTTCAGTACTGTGAAGCACTGCTCCTGATGGATGCTCCTGACACACTACAGTCCCATGAGATACAGTTTATCAATATCTTAATGTTTCAGACAAATTAAGTCCACCTGGGCAAAAGGAGTAAAAGTACTAAAACTGGGGAGAAATGCTCTCTTGGCAGCAAATCCAGCAAAATAGCACCAGACAAGACAAGATTGTTCATTTATAATGCAGATAAGACTGATGCAAATTTGCTAGAAATCTATGCTAAAGGATTTTTGCTCAATTTTTAACAGTCCTTTAGTTTCACAAGAAAAGGCAATAGATCCACAACACTTTTGACTAGCTTTCTCTCCTAATGTTAACTCCCTGGTTGTTTGCTGTTGGACACTTCTGACTGCTGAAGCAAGTTGTTTTCAGTACTTTATGAGGAGAAAAATAGCCTAGGTTTTAGGAAAATTATAGACAAAGCTCCTCTTGGTATGCTTGCAGCTCCAGGGGAAGTTTTGTCAACATCACCAGAATTTATTTAGCCTACTTTTTCGCGGTAAGAGTTATTTTCAAGACTTTGAGTGCCCTTTAAGTACATTATCCCACTTAAGTGCATTACCAATAAATACTCTGCCTGAAGCATCTCTTCACTGAATCTCCCAAAAAAACCAAGAGCAAAGTGTAAGTTGGAAGTTTCTCACTACTTTTGAAAATGCACACTTTTGGCACTGTAAGAAGGACTTTTTGGTGAAGAAAGAACAACAACAGAAGAGATTAGTGCAGCATGGAGTGGATGAAATCTGTTCAAGAGGTCAAAGAAAGGTTATATTTGTTTCTCTGAGGTCCCTCATTAGGAAGCCTGTTTTTGGTTCAAGCCTCACAAAAACAAGATCAGTCCAGCAAAACAAACAACTGAAGAAGTGACATTCCTCTGGGACTATGTGAAGCCAGGGCACAGAAACCAACAAGTTTCCTAAGGCAAGTAGTGAGTGGCTTAAAATGTCACTTGATGCTGTTTACCTAGCTAAGAAGCCATCCACTAAAATGGTTCCTAGTTACTGGTTCCTACATACTTCTTTCTTTCTAACTTTCCTGAGATGGAGACTGTCTAAGACTCTCCCCAACTTACACTGACGTCAAACTTCTATTTAAAAAAATTTATCTATAAATGATGCTGAATGCCACTTTAAAAAAAAACCCATCAAAATTAATTTAAGTTCTTTCCTGGTCTCTCTGTTACTAAATGTACTCTTAAATAAAGACAGCAACTTATGCATAATTAAGTATATTGAATCATACCATCTGCACCCTAGCTTAAGGAGGGGAAAACCCACTACAGCAATAAGTATTTAGTGCTTAAATACCGTTAGAATTAACCATGACCTGTGAGGCTTGCTGTAATAGCCTGATGAAGAATAAGAACTACTGAAACACTCATTGTGTATCACATGTATGCACATAACACACAGCACACCTGCACAGAGACACTTGTATGTACCTGCTTTAAACAAATAATTAGTGGTTGAGCTGCACTCCAAGTAATTTTTCTTGGTCTTGTGTTGTGTAACCTTTAGGAGGATCTGCAAGGATGAACCCCTATGTGTATCATGACTCACTGCAACATACTGCTGTTCCTGATCTATTGTACTGTCAAGGTAAAGATCAGAGGACCTTTCTCACAATCACAAATCCACTTCATAAACAGCCAGCTTGAAATGGCCCTAGTTCAGATTCAGGTGTCCCCTTCTCTTGAATTCAATCATGAGCTGTGGTAGAGCCTCATATTATATTATGCAGCATGTCTCAGTGGCCCTGGTGAGAAGAAACATACTATACCAAAAACCCTCTAACATCTATTTATAAGAAATTTCCCTTCAGAGATTTTTCAATTTAAGCAGTGTATTTCATCCAAATTACTTTTCCTTGACATGACTGGAGTGCCAGCATGGCTGTAAAAGCTTTATTTCAGTGATGACTTCTTTCACAGTCACCACAGGGTTAGTGACCCACCACTAGAGTTAGATCACTTGCCAGTCACATGTCCCTTAGATGTGGAAAAGAAACCAGACACATCAAAGGCACAACTGTAGCTGTCACCATTTGATGACATTCCAAACTGCTGAAATTACCCAAATTTTCTGACTGCCAGCACTCTTTTGCTCTCTTTTACATACAGTCACCTTTCTCTCTCTCCATATTCAGACCAAGTTCCTAGTTTGTAAAATCTGCTACACAAGAGAGGTCAAATTTGACCAGGAAAGTTTAATGCTACTTTTAGTCCTAGATCAAATTGACACCTACCTGTAAGTTCTAAGGATTCTCTCTGACTAAGAGTATTCTGTTTCCTTTACAGGGAACATCCTACATGGCATCCTACATTTGTAGGTTACTTTATGACATGTCCATGTAAACTGCAGGACAAGTGCAATTTAGTGCTTTTGAAGTTACTAGTAGGAGGAACTTCATGTCACTGGTCCAAATTATCCTGTGCTCAGCTCATCACATTTCCTCTGTAATGACACACAGGCACACAGCCTTGTTCAGGTACTTCTCTATATGCCTCTTCTCTGACTCACCCTTCTGAGCAGAGGACACTAAGCAAAATTTGCCATTCAGACTTCTTTACCAAAAGACTACTTAATATATGAGAGTCTCAATGATTATCTGTAATTTCATATCCTATCTGGCTAGGAACATTAAAATTAAGCAACTCACTTTTTAAGACTATTGCTTTTTTTTCCCCTGCAAAAGGAACTTTGTCACTAATTTCTAAAGATTCTTAGTGCCTAATATGAGCAATTTTATCTATGAGCAGGAAGGTATTGCTTCTCTGAATAGAGAGATTTCCCATATATGCAGGCACATTTATTTACACTTTGCAAAACCAATAACATGTCTCTTTATGGCACCATGCAACCATCCTGATTGAATTTTATTCTGAAGCAACACATGCAACAATACTCAGCTAGCTCACTTGCCACCTACAATGAATGTTCATTATTCAGAAATTTGTCCTTTTTTCCCCTCAATATGTGTGGCCTTACAGTAAACTTTCTTAAAGTTAAATCACAATCAACCCAGCTGTAAGTTTCAGATTTCACAACAGGGGTATTGCTTCATTAAGCATTTATCATATTGAGGACAAAACAAAGAAAAATCTGATAGGTCTCTGCTGTCAAGGATACCTGGGACAGCTGATGATAATGAGTTGTTAAACTTACCCTTGAGAAGATATTTTCCAGAGAGCTAGTCAAGGATTTCTTTGCCTTGTTTTTCAGAATGTCAAGTTTAAACCGGCCACCACTGGTGGTGCCTTCTGGAATTGCACTGTTAGAAATGACCTGTTGAAATGAGCAAGGACACCATTCAGCTTTGGCAACTCTTTTTTTAATTGTGAAAACTATTTCCAAAGACTAGAGCTGAACCAGGTTACATAAGAAACAAAATACCCTTGGCCTTATTAAAAAAACCACCACAAACACACTACCCTCCTTCCAAAAAGAAAAACCCCAAACAAAAAACCAAAACAGTCTCCCAAACAAACAAACAAACCCACAGTTAAAGGCACATTCCATCTGAAGGACTATATTGTAAAGGCATATCAATTTAACAACACTGTTGCCCATTCCCTTTGCAAGATAAGTTCATAGTTTAAACTAAAACAAATGCCCTCTTCAGTCCTACGCTTCCTAGATATTATTGCTTGGACATGCAGATCAAAATGGAAAGAAAAAGAAGACTTATCCTCACACTATAAGGAAATACAGACATAAAATTAATTGGTTGTCTTTCTTCCTGTCATGTCCCCTCAACCTATAAAACTCAGGCAAGCCACTATGAATTAAATCAGATTTTTTTTCCTGTATAGTCCTTTCTTAATTATAACACCCAGCTTCAGGTACTCCTGAAAAAATTGAGCAGTGGTCCTACAAGTAATTAAAACAGCATATTAATAGTCTGGAAAGGGGAAGAGGAATAATAAAAAACATTAAAGTAATAATGAATAATATTAAATAATAAAACCAAGCTTTACCGATGGTGCTTCACCAATGTGGATGTGTGTTTTCTGCTTAGTCTCACAGAGCTGACGGAGGTGTAAGATCACAAGTTCATTTTCTTCCTGGTCATTTTCAGGCTTCATTTTCTGTCAGTAACAGCAAAGAAAGGAGTTTGTCTTTCAAGTCATGATTTGCTTATCTTTCCTTCCTAGGTAGGTATTCCTTGAAATTAATATATTGATACACCAAACACCAGAGTGCACTGTTATTATGTCGAATTGCAATTCTGTGTGCCTTCACACTCCTGGGCAAAATAGAACAAAAACTGAAAAATATTGCAGGCTGTAGAGAGAAGGGAGCCTTTACACCCATACATTTTGTTTTCCAAGCCTGTTACTATACAGCCCTCTAAGTGGCATAAGGAAACCAAGCCACTCTATTCTTCAGGAATTCAGAGGGGAGCACATCCTTTGGAAGCCTAAATCATTGTATACCTCATCCACTAGATTACATCAGCTTACACCAGAATGATGTGCCAAAATAAATCAAAAAGACAAATTCTGAAGATGCCAGACAAGTTCCTGATACCCATATGTCCCTCCTGCTCTCAGCTTACTCCCACATCACTGTCAAGCAGGGAAACTTGTTTACAGGTGAAAAACTAAGCTCAGAACAAAAAAAAAAAAAAAATAGTCTGCACAGAGAATCTCAGCAAATTTGGGAAAGAGAACTTTTCCAACAGAGGTATATCACACATGCGTTTAAATTGGAGCATGCTATTTCAGAATGATTTTTGGTGGAAAAATAATAAATTCTAGATCAACTACACAACAAATCAAACAAATCAAAAGCAAAAATATCTAGTCCATTTTATCATGGTCTTCCTCAAATTAGGAAGAACAGCTTCTAAGGTACTACCTGAACACGTTCAAAAATGTCTGCTTGCTCATTGTCAGTCAGCGATGACAGATGTCTCTGAATTACAAGTTTGGCTCTTGGTGGATAGAGTCCTAGGAAAAGAATGGACCATTAAAGATTCTCAAATGAACTCTCAAAACATTTTTTGAGCAAAATGACAGTAGAAGATATAAACCTGCCTTTGAGTTTATACAAGTTAGATGTATGACAATTGTATGTCCAACATATACATGATACAAAATAATTGAGGTTTTGCTAAACCACATGGCTTTGTCTCTTTTCTTTAGCAGCAAAAATATAACCAGCAGCAGCTAGGTGGCTGGCTCCTGTGTAAAAGGTTGTGCTCCCTATCCCACCAGTAGCTTCTGTCCTAATGCCAAGAGATCACTGACAGCTGGAAGCCTGACAACTGTATGGGAGAAGAGGAGGAAAGGAACAGATCAAGGTTATAACAGGAGAGATAATCAATACACAGGATACTTGGAAGTTTTCAGATGATTTTAACTGAAAAATTAAGAATTAGGAAAAAAATGAAGAATAAAGGAAAGAATTTCTGGTACTCAACAAAGTGCACATTTTGTCACAGAGGTACTTCGAGGAAGCAACAAAAAATGTGAGTGAAAACAAACCCCTTGAACCAGATGAAGATTTCTTCCATCCAAGGTAGGTCTCATTCATAGAAAATTGCAATCAGAACAAATAAAGTATGTTTTTCAAAATAATGCAGCTTTAGGTTTTATTTTGCTAAACTTCTAGACTCAAAGCAGATGGATAAAAAAAAGAGACATTAAAATAAGTTTTTCAGTCACTAAGTAGAAAGTTTATGAAACTACTACTACTACTACAGTACTCTAGTTGTTGTCCCAAGAGAAGATTTTATTTTGGTACTGGGTACTTTTCAAATTACTTACACTGCCTTATACAGCAGCCTCTGTAGTTAATCATCTACAGAAAACTTTCCCAGCTTAGCCTTACCACTTCTGAATACCTATTGTTATTCCCAGCAACTATAAGTCACAGACTAGGAAAATTTCACCCCACTAAGATTTTACACTTGACTTTTCATCCACCAGAGGGAAGCAAGTGGCAGCAGTGACTTTCAACAAATGGGAGAACTGTAAATATCGAGCACCACCCTAACCACACCAGAAAATATTTGACTATTTGCTTTTTATAACATACTTACTTTTTGGTTTTGCCTACAATGCTTTGCAAGAACACCTAGCAGAATGATTATAAAAACAGGATCCTAACTTTTTATTTTAAAAATTCTGTCTTGTAAGACTTTTTGCATGTCTTCTAGCATACTTCACTTCCAGAGACATTACAAAAGTTTGTCTACTCCTACCTGAATGTAGGGTGTTGTCTTAATTTTCTTGATTAGATATAAATCTCCTAACTTAATAATTTATTTTCCTATAATATAACTAGATCTTGAAGTGTGTGAGGGAATAAATACAAAGAAGCAAAAAATAACCCCACACAGGAAAGAAGGAACACAGGAAAGAAAGATCCTTTTTGATCACGATTGTCTTTTTATGAGTCATTTTGAAAGCATGCAACTTGAGGAAAAAAAAAAACAAACAACAAACCTAAACAAATGGAAGGTCAGCTGGTGGGTTTTGCTGCTCTGCTTAAGAAAGGTATGATGATGAAAGAATATGTATTTATAGCAGAAGCAACACTATATTCTGTTACAGTATCATTACTGCTAACTCTCACCTAAATACAAAGGGTGCAAAGTGACAGTAAGAATTGCATACTGGGATACTTCTACCTCTGCTCTTATATTGTCTAAGTTATTCCTCTAGAAAAATCAGCAAACCACAATTAGAAGATAAACTGAGCTGCTACCTTCAATTCTTTCACAGAGTTTGTGCAATGAATGCATAGGGCAGGCCTCACACAGTTTGATCTGTGTCTTGGCATTTTGCAGGGCTGCAGCAGTGCTGAAGGCTTGCTTCAGGGTCAGCATTACCTCATCAACCTGTATGGGAAGGAGGGAAAAGAGTATATAAACAAAAATACATGCCATATACACAAAATTAGATTTATAAATCACATCTCAGACAGGTGCTTTACTATTAAAGGAAAAGACAAAACCATAGAAACCCATTTGCTGTTTTTTGAAGAGATCAGGGTTGAATTCCCAGCTTTCTGCCTTTTTTGTAGATGATCACCATCGTTAAGTTCTGCCAGACAGTGTAATTTTGATGTCTAACTGCAGCTACTCAAGCTTGCAGGGAAAGCACCCACTATTTTTTGAAACTATAAGTGAGAATTTTTGGCTTGAATATATGCTGGGTAAATAAAAAGCATTAATTTCTTTAGTTTCAAGTCTCTCCTGTAAACTGCACGTGTTCCCTCTTAACCTCTGTCGTCCCACCACTAAACCATTTTAGCAGCAACCCTCACAAACCTATCCCTGCTGCCAGACAGGAGCTTCCCACAGCAGTTCCAGAGTGCCTACCAGCTTCATCACAATCACCACCCTGCAGGCTGCCCTGATCCTTCCTCTGCTGCTCCCACCAACACAGCAGTGCTGCCATGTTCCCACACACCAGCACTAGAAAAGCTCAGCTTGTATCTAACAAGGCTTGAGCTCACAGCATTTCTCCACATTCATTCAAATATGCTCCCAGACCTGGCACACAAAGCACTTGGAGCTCCTCTCTCTGTATTTCAGGGGAATACAGTGCTTATTAAAAGCTGTTTGCTCAGTCTCAGCATTAGCAAGGAAAGAGGGAGACAGCAGCTTGAGAACCATTTTAGGAACAAAATCAGTATTCAACTTCAGAATCAGGTTCTCACTCTGCTTGTTGCTTTGTTTCATGTGCAGCATGAATAAACTGAAATATTTGAGACCAAAACCACGCAGTTTAACATTAAAAACATACAGACTTTTTTGAGGGTCTGTCACTTGGGGGAGAAAAACAAACAAAAAAAAAGTAGAAAAGGAACCTGAATATAGAAATTTGAACTAGTTTGCATCCCAGTATGTGTAGATTTGTTTTGTTTGCTTTAAACCTCAAGGTTTGAAGCATTACCAATAATTTCTGGGTGCTTTCTCTTAGCAATAAAGCAGAGCATTGAACAGTGAACAGTCCATCCTGCAACATGGACTGGAAAGTTTTTTAAGTTGGCTACTATCCCTCTCCAATGCAAGATCCACAGAACAGTGCTAAGCATATGGACTTATGACTCTCCTAAAATCATAAGAACTATAGCACAAACTGTATGTAGGCTTAGAGCAAATATACACAAGCCTCTCAGCACAGCCTGCCTGGCAGTGGAGAACCTGGAAAGGTCTGCCCTGCCACAGTCAAACTGCCACCAGGGTGCATCTGAGTGATTGCATCCAAAAGTAGCTCAGGAATGTTTATTTCATATTGCAGTGTGGACACACACAAACCAATCAGTACTAGAATAAGCAAAGAGGTTTATAAAAACATGGGGGTTTTATACACCACTTAAGCCTCTGAATTATGCATGGTCAGATTTATCAATAGGTCAGATATAACATTTTCTGTTATTACAATGATAAAGCTGATCTCATAGCAAGCTCCCATTTTGACAAAAATGCAGCTTCAGCTGCCATGGTACACCTAGAGCTGTTAGCTGTTTGAAGTTTTATTGATGCAAATCTATTCCCTCTCAAGCTAGGAGATTGAATGGATTAACAAATTACATATTCAGCTAGCTAAAAAAGTGATTTTTAAGTTTATCTGAGAAAGAGTTAGCAGCTGTTATCAGCACCATCAAACAAACACGTTTCAGAACAGGAAACAACTTCTTTTAAAGTGTCACAGTTTTAAAATAAAAATGGAATAGTCAAAATTATTTCCTGTGTGTATTTCACACTATTAAGCTACCTGTTATCAGTAAAATCAATGATATCTGGAACTTTGGTTAATTGATACATACTTCATACAATGTTCAATGAACTTTTTTATAGTTACATACATCCATGAATACTATGGTTTTCTTCTTCTGTGATCAGATGCTGCTATTTTCTTCTCCTGAGGAACAAAACAGACTACAGGAAAAAAGCTAAAGCCAGATGCAGGCTTAAGACACATGCAGGATCAGCCAGTAGTTTAAACCCTACCCCAAAGGGTATGTTTGGGTTTTATCATCAGGTTTGTTACTGATTCAATACATGTTTTTTCATGTTTAATGGGGAACCAAGTCTCTCAACAGTTAGAACTGGAAGAGTTACAATCAAATACAGAGCCCAAATACGCTCACAGTCACACACCCATATGGATTCATCTATTTGTTGCTGATATCTGCATCAGCAGAGTAGCAGGATATGGCTGTGTATGAACAGAATGTTCACATTTCCTACTGCAAATTTGCATATGCACAGCTGATGTCCTGCACCTGAGCAGATGTGAGCACTGGGGCCCAGCTGACACAGCAGGATGACAGAGACTCCTATTGTTCAGGAAATGCCTTGGAAATGCTCTGATGAAATGGTCAGGATCATCCATAAATACTCACCAGAGACTCACTTGCACACTGGAACACATAGCAAATATACTGGCTTAACCCACCTTCCACAGATTCTCGGCAAATAAAACCAAAGTGATCAACGTGTTTTATACCCTAAAAGAATTAAAAAACAGCATTAGTGGACTATTTTATAAACAAGTATAGTTTCCAAAAAATTGAATAACTATAAATGCATACCCCTAATATCTATTTTACAAGTAGTATAATTATCTTGAAATTGCTTTTTGCATTTAAGTTATGTAAAGATCTTTATATAATCAAAGCCAAAGTTATACAGCAATAAATCTGGACCAGAATTTATTCCGTCAGCAAAACTGAATTTTCAGGGAAGCAAACTAAAGACTTCTGGGTTGTATTTGGAACCCCAAAACCAAAAAATAAACAAACCAACCCCCCCCCCCCCCCCCAAAAAAAAAAACCAAACCAACAACAAAAACAAAGCCAAAACAAAAAAACAAAACAAAAAAGCCCCAAAACCCTAAAAAACCCCAAACAAACAAAAAAACCCAAAAAATGAGGAAATGAGTGGCAACCTACAGAATTCCAGCTAAATTCTGAAATAAATTCTTTGAGACTGAGTTACATACCAGAAGTTTCAAGACTTACTACACATTACTACTGACACTTTTTTCCAAGATCTTAGTATAACAGCTTGACAGGGAACACTGCCTTGCTAAAAACAGCACTGAGAAGATCAAAGACAGCTGCTTCCTAAGAAGCACTATATTCCCAGTCTCAATTCATGGAACATGACTCACTATTGTTAAAGCTTTTGCCAATGTTTTTATCATCTGAGTATGGAAATAGTAGATTTTCTCCAAATGAAAGCCTAATTCCTCAAGTTCAAATACAACAAAAATCAGAACATGTTTGCTTGGATCCATCTCCAAAGAAAACACCTATATCATAAAAGAGAGGAGGAGGCAAAGCAACTGCCTGTCACTACAGAAAACACTCTACACAAAATTGGAAATCCAGTACGTGACAAACGGAACATATTGTCACTACACGCTGTTGTTTTTAAAAACAAAATTCCAAGTCACTTTTGTACTACTTAAAACTTAAGAGGTGCAGAGGGTTGCTAAGAGGACACAAATGGCATTAGCTGAACCATAGTCCAACTAATCTTGACTTCGTTTTCTCGTGACAGATGAAGTCTTCAAAAGCATAAAATAAAAAAGGTCAGATGTATACACATGTTGATCTATAGAAAAGTGAAGTGCTGAGCTCTGTTTTGCAAGAAAACATAATTATTAAAGGTGGTTCGGTGAGATGCCAGTTCCCTCCTTACTGACAGTGCCTGAACAAGTCTACTGCTGTCTTGACTTCTCAGTCTCCACAGGAGAACATTTGAGGGGGGAGACAGATGGGACACTTGCCCTACTGAAGCAGAAATAGGACAGCATGTTCCTAAATCAACAGTACTTCCATCACATTTCTTTAAGATAGAGGCTTTAAGAGGTCATGACAACAGAGCCAAGTTTTCTGTTGTTCTGGGTTCCCTCAAGGGGAAGGCTCCAACAAAAAACCTTCTAAAACTATTTGATATCTGAGTTTAGACTGCACACACAGAGCTTTATCATCAATTATGTCTGCTGCTTGACAATTATAAGGAGTGTGGATAATTACATGAATGCAGCAGCTCAACCATGCTTAAGCTATAGGATAAAAAATACCTTTATTAGACCAGACTAAGAGAATCCAGAATGCAAACTGGCAATGACCTCTCCTTTTCATTGTTTGTAAAGTTTGGAAGGACAAATATTCCTAAGCCACAGTCCCACAATACATAGTAAATCACTACCCTATAAATCTGCAACAGAGAAGCCCTGGGGCTAGCACCAAGTTCTTAAAGGAAGTACTGATGAGGTTTATGCAACCAATGCTTAGTCTTGAACAAATTAATATTTTATTTCTATTGAATACAGAGCCCCTGGACTTCTCTAAAGTAACTGTTTCACGTTAAAAAAAAACCCCAAAAAACTAAAAAAACCAAAAAAAATCCTCAAAGTATTGTGACTGCCTCTTTGAGTTATTCACAAATGCAAAGTAACAGAGAAGCTTTACTCCAAATGAAAGTGAAGGGGTGGAATGAAAAACACCTCCAAAATCCAACACACAGAATTACCTGACACTATTTACTGTACAAAGTCATTTTCCTGAAGGAAAGCTGGGCCTTGAAGGTTTTCCATGGTCTTATTGGTCACCATAAAGTCAGCAGATAAAAGGTTGTCCCAGCTCAGGACTGTTTTGTTTGACTATTTTAAGTTTGTATATACAACCTAGGAGCCCAGTACCTAAAGTTGATGTGTCACTTCAGTACACCCAAAAAGCAGAAGATCCAAGTCATCTACAAATTCTGCTTTCCATACCTCTGTTTTAAGATCATTTTGATCTGTGTTTATTATAAAGCTATTACCACATTGTTTGATTATATTGTCCCATTCTGTATTTGCATCAGCTTTTTTCCTCTCTCAAAAGCAATACAAATTGTAGTTAAAATGTAGAGTCAATTTAAGGACCTGGACCTTTAGTTGGTAGCTCAAGACTCCACTTGAGTTACAAGTATTGCCCAATTCCTAATTTGTCTAAGCATTGGTAGCCCAGTCATGCAAGAGCAGACTGGTTATTGGCATTAAAATGAATGTACTTGGGGGTAAAATACAGGTTTAGAGAATGACAAAAGCATACTTTAACTAGAATAATCATGTTTAAGTGTTGTGATGGTATGATGATGTGGCACAACAAATGAAGAGATGATAAAGTAAGACCTCAAACCAAAAAGTGTCACCAGTGCTGAACAAGAGCAAGATGGAAAGGTGAACATCTTAGCCTTGACATTTAACTACACAAGAAATAATTACTTATTACTGAACATAGCTAGGTACACCTATCACCATATTGACCAGAAGAAATTATGCAGGTGAACTGCTGTCATTGTGAAGGGTTGATTTGATGCTCTCCTCCTTTCATTCTGAAGGCTTTCAGGAACTTGTATGCTCAGAAATAAACAGTACACTCAGAGCATCCTAAATGGAGATTAAACTGCTTCCAAAAACATACTTAATACTCTCCCAAAGCAGAAATAGTTTATACTTTGTTTGCTGATGAGTGATTAAAATTGCTGCTATTACACAGCTCAGACTGGTTATTTTGCACTCATATTTTCTGGACTTTTCTGGAAAAAGAATTCTACATTTCCTTTTTTCTCCTGCCTATAGACCAGCAAGGCAACACAGCTGAAGAACAAATAAAATCTTTTTTCTCCTGATGATCTACACATTGCTTCTTATTAATCCTTACCTGAGAACATGAGGAGATATCTTTAAAATTCTTTTCGAACACAACAGATTTGGTATCTGGGCTGATGAGGTTAACTTCAAACCTTCCAACCTAAGGGAGAGAAAAATAAATCTAATTTATGACTGTCTCAGAGGTATAGCATTTACAGCAACAAAAATGTCAGAATCTTGCCCTTTCTTGCTCACATGGAGTATCTTTTGGCACAACAGCTTACTCAGCAGGAACAAGGGTGCCAGGGTACTGTAATTCTGCCCATGTTGAGTAAGAATATTTCAGCAAGCACAATACACTCAGCTGAATAACAAAAATTACTTGGAAAAAACACAGCTTTTCTTCCCCTCCCCCACCCTTTTTCTTCAAGTTATTTTAGTCCAAAGATTACATGTTTGTCAGACAATACTAAAACCTTTAGGAAATAATGTGGCTAAATTAAAAGCTGGGGAAAAAATGGGAATTCTTGGTTTTTAAATTATACCATAGATTAGCTGAGAAACTAAGACGATACTTTTTGGTTTGTAGTAATTCCAAATGAGAAAGAGGAGCTTCTGCAGCAAACTACCTTTTAGCTTTCCCAAATTGCTTCTCAAGCTCATGGAATTTATTCTACAGACCTCGGATTTTTTCAGCTAAATCCTGTTCATTACTAGTGATAAGCTGTGCCTTTCTGAATGGAAATGCATTCTCACTTCAGATATCATTTCCACAAGAGAATAAAAACATGATCCTTAAAACAAATGGAAAGACAAAATCCAGGCATTTAGCCCACTGTTATTTTAAGGTCCAAAGATTTTTACTTTTATGGGTCATCTCCTTTATGTGTCCTTCTCTTTTCTCAAAACAAGTTCCAAAAATGTGAAATGCACTTCAGGCAAGAGAAGAAATAACCACTGGAGTCTGAAGGAAGAAGCCCTCAGTGCAGAGATGTTTGAATACTTGTCTTGTAAAGAGGGGACATTAATACAAATTATCAAAAATAGGCTGGCTCAAACACAAGGCTGTGGAAGTCTCATGTGAAGTTTTTCTTTTAAGTGCACAAAAAAAAGAGGCTTTGTTTGCATGGTAGCTTTCATTGATTCTCTTCTTGAAAGAATATTCATGTTTTTCAGCTAGGTTCTAAATATCACCAACACAGACAATCCAGAACGGTACATAAAATATTTATTTCACTAAAAACTCTGCTCCTTTAATTTATGGATTACTCCATAAATAATTACTTTTTCTTAAAATCTGCCTGAGCTCATGAGTTGAGGTGAAAGCTCAGCTACTTGTGTTCCAACCATTTATGAACAGATACAAAAATATTTGCAACAAATCGTGAAGCCATACTGGATCCATATTAGTTATCTTGCAAAACTTGTCTCAAACTGCACAGGGGAAGAAGACATGGTACAAGAGCAACAGTAAATTGCTCGCCCTAGAACCCACCTGGAACAACATTGTCCTGTTCTTCTCAGAGTCAGAGGGCTGGACGTGACTGGGAGCACTGGCGTGCCTCCTGCGGGACTGTGCTTTCAGGTTTGTGTCGTGAACCCTCCTCTGCATCACTGCAGTGACACTGCTGCAGCGGGAGCGGAACTCCTGCTGCTCATCGAAGCCAGAGTCCTCCAAAATCCTCTCTGGAAAGAAGCCACGAGTGCTGGCCAGGTTGGTCAGGTTGGTCTGGCTGCCAATTGTAAACATTGCAGCACGCCCTGCTGTTGGGGTGCTGTTGGGGCTGTCCAGCTCCTCAAAAGGGCTGTCCAGAGGAGAAGCTGGCACATTTTCCTCACACAGGGGCAGGTCCAAACTCGACTCGTTATTGCGCTGCTCGTTTAACAGTTTCAGGCGCTGCCGCTCATGAAGGCTGAATTTCTCTATGCAGTCGTCAATCAGTGTGGAGGGAGCTTTCTTGTGAGCCACTGTCACCTTCCCACAGTACAAGACCTCAAATTTTTGAGAGTCATAGAAGGCATCTTCACTCTCCTTACTTGGTTTGGCATCTTCTTTCAGTGCTGCTTTAGAGACTTGTCTTATGCTGCTGATGACATCAGGAACCTGAGGGGACAGTGTGAAAGGCCTTTTTAGTAACCACAAATGAGACAGCAGAGACAGTGATGCATCAAGCATTTGTTAAGGTAAGTATTTACACAAGCTATTTCTCCAGCAGAGTGCCACAAGCTTCTTGGCAAAGAATATAAAATCAGTAAAATCTAAATTCTCTATGGACAACTTATGTAGTGGAAGCAGAGCAAATAATTTCTAATTTTTTTCCTGGAATGTCTCCCAGTACATAAGGTTTTAAATTACCAGAAGGTCGACTGGCAAATGTTCACATCCTTTTTTTGTTTGTTTGTTTTTACTGAGACTACCTTCTCTTTCCCATTGTCCTCTGCCCACATTGGCATGTTTTACTGCTGTGCTTTGTAAAGGGTCATCACTGCTCCTTTGTTTTTATTTTGCAGAGACACTTATTCTATTCTTAAGACTTTCGGGAACAGTTTTGTGGACAAGAGACCAGCAATCTCCATCAGTTTCAACTGACAGAGTTGAAACTGCATTAGATCTCACTTATTATCAACTTTAAAAACCTTGCCCCATCCATCCTGTGACACAGTTCACCTTAAGGTCACACTTCCCTGCTGCCTCAGTCATTGTGCCGTAAAGCAGCACACACAAATCTCTCTTCTCCTCTGCACAAACCCCTGCTATACCCTGTGGGGCCAAACTACACACCTCCAGAAGAAACTCACAATTTCAGCCCTGTATCACACAGTCTTTCAAAGACACCTGGTTCTTCCTCCATTTTATCCCAATCACCCTGGGAGGAGTCTGGTTTAAGTACCAACATATTTAATATGTGAGCACATTTTTCATTTTGGCTTCACAAAAGAAAACAAGGACTTCCCCAACTCTACTAACTGCAGATCAGAGTGGTAATAGTTGCTCTTTTGACAGTACCTACTCTTCTGAACCATGCCCTCTTTTCCACATGTCCCATTTCTCTAGAAGTATAATGAATGGCATCACACTACATGCATTGGGGAGGTTACTAGTGACAATGAGATAGATGTGACTGGTGGTCACAAGGGTTTTCAGGGTGAAGAAGAGACGAGAATGTTGACTCCATGATCAGAAGGCTTGATTTATTCTTTTATGATATATGTTACATTAGACTATACTAAAAAGCAATAGAAAGGAAAAGTTTCTTCAGCAGCTAGCTAAGCTAAGAATAGAAAAAGAATGAATAACAAAGATCTGTGTCTCAGACAGAGCAAGAGCCAGCTCTGCCATGAGTGGTCAAGAAATCCAAACACCCACAGGAGACCAATCACAGGGTCTACCTGTTGCATTCCACAGCAGCAGATAACCATTGTTTACTTTGGTTGCTGTAACTGCAGCTTCTCACAAGGAAAAATCCTAAGAAAGGATTTTTCATGAAAGATGTCTGCGACATGTCACCTTTTTTTATTTAATTAAATTAAAAGGAAAAAGCGTTTGTAATTTTCTCTGCTGTACTCATGCTGAAGAAAAAGACAAACACTTGACAGGTTATCTGTTGCCAATCAAACTCCACTCAAGTGCTCCTGTGGAATGCACTGGGAATTTCTTCACCTGTAGAACATAAAAGTCTATCATATCACTAAAACGATTTTACAATATAAGAAAATGCAAAAACAATGCAAAGAAAATTCAAGTCCAAGCAGCTGAGTTTCAGGAAAAGTCCATGGTCTGAAGATGTTCCTCTTTGCCATATCTGAAAGTTTCTTTTGGTCCTGAAACAGGCTTGCTACAGAAAAGTCCATCAATAGTTATCAAGAGTCCATTGACAGTCTTCAAAGAATTTTGAGAAAGTTTCTGAAATGTCTTGCCACAGCCCTTATTGAACAACTTGGGCTGAAGCCAATCCCTGGCTCCTCAATGCCTCTGCTCAATGCCTCTGAGCTGCTGCCAGCTCTTTCACCCTTTTTTATTGAATTAATTTTTTTTTTTTTTTTTTTTTTTTTTTTTTTTTTTTTTTTTTTTTTTTTCTTGTCGGAAAGAGCAGCAGCAGAGGAGCCAGAGAGAGGCCCTTGGGGGCCCTGGCCCATGTGGAAGGATCAGGAACCCCAGACCTGGCCCACAGAAAGGTGGCCCAGGACCAGAAGGGGGAAGCAAAGCCCCCAAACCCAACAGGAGGCCGGGAGGTGGCCCTGGCCCAAGCAACCAAGGCAGACAGCCCAGGCCCAGCCCCCGAGGCAGGCTCTGCATTGGCACAGACCCGCACCCTGCTGCCAGTACAATGGCAGAAGGGGTGACCAAACGCTTCCTTTCCCCAAAATCACCGAGGCATGCCGGCAATGGGAAGACAGAAGCTGTCCCGAGAAACTTCGTCTCGGGTCTGGGGATGTCCTTTCCCCACAGCAGACAAGCGATGCTCGCTTCCTGCTGTGCCCTCTGCCTCTGCGATGCAAATGCACCAGGTGTTCCTCCCATCTGCCTCACGGCACCACCTCCACCCCCTCTGGGCTGGGGACCAGGGGCAGAACTTTCGGGACCCACCTCCCCCTCGCCGCTGGGGCGCGCGAGGGGCGGCAGAGAGATCCGCATCCCCCAGGGGGAAACCCCGGACCAAACACCCCCCAACCCGCCAAAAATGCTGATCTTGAAAACAGGCAGCCGCGCTGCGCCCACAGCCAGCTGTCGGGCCATGCCTCCTCCACGGAAGGACAGGCTGACGCCCTCTTCCCCTGTCCCAGCTCCCCCTGTAGGGGCAGCCCCAGGACAACCCGAAAAACTCGGGGAGGAAGTCACGCTGGATGCAGGAGGCGCCGCTGCAGCTGCCGCCGCCGGCTCCAGGGCAGCCTCTGACGCAGACACGGAGGACGGAGTCCCCACAGGCGGCAGAACTGCTGGGGAGGGCAGCGGGGCCGCCTGGGGAGGCGGCGGGGGCGACGGGGGCGGCACGGGGTCGGCAGCATCTTCTGCGCCGGGCTCTGAAATCGGCCGCGGAACCACAGTCGCAGAAGGCGGCGGGACGGCCGGGGGGAGCGGTGGATCGCTGTTGCCCAGCAACATCGGCGCTGCCGCGGGAAGCGGTGTCTCTGAGATCTCAGATGCAGGCAGGGAAGCCGGCGGAACCGCGGCCGGAGCGCACACAGGCTCCTCCGGAGGGGCGGCCGCGGGAGGGGCCGCTCGGGGAACCGCCCGCACCCGCGGGGCGGGTTGAGGCGGCGCTGGCGGCACTGGCCGGGGCGGTGCCCGTGGCGCTGGCCGGGGCGGTGCCGCCCACTCCCATCCCCCCTGAGAGCAACGGGAGGGGGGAGAAACCGGCTCCGTCTGAGCATGCTCCGAAGACACAGTAAAAAAAACTTTGGCTGCGGGCGAAACTTCGCCCCCCCACTGCGGTTCAGGGGGGCTGGAAAACAGCAGAACGTCCCCCTCCAAAGGGTCCTCCCCCGGAATCGGGGGGAACGGGGCTTTGCCCTTGCAGTTAGCAATCCAGGGAAAAACAGCTGCTCTCCGTTTCAAGACTAGAAAGAGCAACAAAAAGGTTGGATAAATCGAGGGGCATCCGAACCCCCGGTATAAAAAGAAATGGAAAATGGAGCCCATACACTCCCAGACAAACACATCAAGGGCATATAGCACATTCGTAAAAAACCCAAAGAGCTTTGCCCATCGAAAAAACTCATAAAAATCTGTCTCTGACAGGAGAATTCTGTCCTCTGCACCCCATTTTTGCCAGAGGGCAATAAGTTTCTCCTCTGAAGGGGAGAATGGAACCTCATCCTCTAGGGGAGAAGTCCTCCAGATGAGCAGCCACAAACTTCGAATGGCCTCATCTTCAGGAGGGCAAAACCCAACAGTACCTTGTGACAGTGTCCAGGACTCTCTGGCTATCTGCACGGTGCTGCTGAGCTTTCTGAACATCTTCCTGGAGGCTTTTCAGAAGGTTCTCTTCGTGGTCAGCCTTGCTGTGAACTCTGTCCAAATTCGGATCTTCAGTTCTTCAGCTCCTGGCTAGAATCCACTTCTGTGGTCACTTGTGAAGCAACCATCAATGCCACACATTCAGGGATTACCCAGCGCAGCAATGCTCCTCTGGTGGTCTCACCAAGTGATGAGTGTCCTCCTCAGTCGGGGGTCACCAATTGTGACTGGTGGTCACAAGGGTTTTCAGGGTGAAGAAGAGACGAGAATGTTGACTCCATGATCAGAAGGCTTGATTTATTCTTTTATGATATATGTTACATTAGACTATACTAAAAAGCAATAGAAAGGAAAAGTTTCTTCAGCAGCTAGCTAAGCTAAGAATAGAAAAAGAATGAATAACAAAGATCTGTGTCTCAGACAGAGCAAGAGCCAGCTCTGCCATGAGTGGTCAAGAAATCCAAACACCCACAGGAGACCAATCACAGGGTCTACCTGTTGCATTCCACAGCAGCAGATAACCATTGTTTACTTTGGTTGCTGTAACTGCAGCTTCTCACAAGGAAAAATCCTAAGAAAGGATTTTTCATGAAAGATGTCTGCGACAGATAGAGAGAATATCAATCCAATTTTCTTTGCAAGAGAAATCAGTTCTCAACATTCAACTAATCCAATAGAATCAATCAACAGTTTTTGTATTCTATACAGCTTCGCACTACAATATTTCATATTTATCAACAGTTTTTGTATTCTATACAGCTTCCCACTACAATATTTGATATTTTTCAAATAATTTTTCTATTAAAAGAAGGTAACCTTAAAGTCACACCTTAAATAATCCATGCTCTCTACAGTATCTCTTTCTTTCACACGATACCAGCTGAAGCTTGCCACTGAGGCAGAAATCTCATCTACCAACACTTCTGCAAGTCAGAGTGGAAAATTACCTCATCTTAATCCCCATCTCCCATTACACACTCCTCATCCCTTGGGCATTCAACTCAAATCTGCTTCCAGTTCATTTATTGCAAAATGAAGTTCAATTACCCTAAGGTCTGCTGACCTTTTGGCTTCTATCCCTTTAGACGTCACCATCATCTCAGTTTTCAGTGGGGCTAAAAGCCAAGTCTAGATCTGGCACAGAT